TATATATACCGTATATATATATACCGTATATATATATATATATATATATATATATATATATATATATATATATATATATATATATATATATATATATATATATATATATATATATATATATATATATATATATATATATATATATTCAATGTTGAATTTGTGCGTAGTGAACTAGAGTGCTCAACACCAATAAATCAGTAGAGCAAATAAAAAGACATAAACAACAAATTTCAATCTTAAAATTTTATTTCATCGCTACACAGTGTTTCACGTACAGCGTACGATCATCAGGCGATCAGGCGATTGATGTTATTAACATCAATCGCCTGATCGCCTGATGATCGTACGCTGTACGTGAAACACTGTGTAGCGATGAAATAAAATTTTAAGATTGAAATTTGTTGTTTATATATATATATATATCTATGTTGTTTATATATATATATATATATATATATCTATCTGGAGCGAGAACTCGTGTCCAAAAAGTGAAGTCAAGATGGCGGAAACTGAAGAGCTATTGGACGTCAGTTCCAGTCCCTTTCTATTGTTTTTGTTGCGCGGTTAGCACCAAGCTGGTAAAGAGTGTGCTGAAATTTCGTATTTTGGCTCTGGTTTGTATACTAGGTAGTAGAATGGTTTCGAGTGCAATTTGGGGAAAACATGCATGAATGAGTTTTTCAAAGACGATCAAAATTCCACGAGTGCAAAAAGACGCACGAGTGTATTACTTATTATTCAAAAACTCATTAATAATTCATGAAGCAATTATCCAATCTTGAGTAAGAAATCAGTCACGTGCATACGTCTTTATACCAGCTAAAGAACACTTTAACAAAAGACCATTGTTATGCAAACTATATAAAGAATTTTATACAAAGATTTTTATATAAAGATTTTTATATAAAGATTTTTATATAAAGATTTTTATATAAAGATTTGACTTATTATGCAAATGTTTTTGAAGTCATATAAAAAACTCGCAGGTCGTGTTTTATTAGGTCTAAAGCCACTCGCGCTGCGCGCTCGTGGCTTTAAACCTAATAAAACACTCCTGCTCGTTTTTTAAATAGCACATAATAATACATGAAAAAAGTATGCAGTCACATGCGTACGTAGGTCACAAGCGAAATAGTTAATTTTAATATAAATAATTTCAACAGAAAATCTACTAAAAACGCCAGCCATTTTTGTCGCTTGTAAATGTTTGGTTTTTTTGGTATTATTTTCTACTAGAAATGGCTGTATCTTAAAGCACTGTATTTCGAAAAATTGCACTGTCTTTCATTTTTTGGCACTGTATTTCGAAAAATTACACTGCTATTAGCCGATCAGAATGGAGAATATTTTTCAATCCATGTACATCATTCAACCTTCATAACTATTGGATATCAATTTCTGCCATCTGACATCCTGACTTTTCTCATATAAGTCAAATTCTTGTTTCAGTTTTTACTTCATTTGGACCACAATCGGCAAGTTTCCTGCAGTAGTATTGTAGTAACACTGAAACAACAACCCGTGTTGTTATATCTCTTACTGGACCTTTAGGGAGAACAGTTTGAACTAGTTTAGAGGCGTTGCTGTTAATACACTAACTTTTGTGTTTCCCTTCATGTCAAAAGGAATTGAAAACGTAAAGAATGCACCAGGATCCATCTCTTTAAAAACGTGACTTTCATCATCATGACCTGAAAATAAACGAACAATAAATTTATGGGTTTTGGTTCAAAAAACTAACTAACGTTATTTATACTGGATATATAGCTCTCTCAAATTTAAAACTGTTCTCCGTAGAGTTCCGGTAAGGGACGTCTCTTATTTCTTGTTCCAGTGTTATTACAAAAGGAAATCTACCTTCATTTATACCGAATAGTTAATTCTGTCAGCTCTAAACTGTTCTCTCCAAAGGTCGAGTATATCAGGCCTGTTTCATACGTCGAATTTAATTCAGACGAATTTAATTCGTTATTAAATTCGTCAATTGGTCAACATTAAAATGGTTTCGTTTCAAACGAAGAATTCAATTCAGACGAACTCATTTCATGTCTAGCGATCATGGATTACCCAGAAAAAACCCCCACGAGATCAGAAAGAGAGAAATAGACTTTAACATAATTTATGCATTTAATTCGACACGACGATAAGACGTCGTATGAAACGAAGACGCGCTACAGACGTTGTATCCGTCTGACCATGATGGATAAAACATCTTGGACGAAGTTAATTCGTTCAATTAAATTCGTCCAAATTAAATTTGACGATAGTGCGACGTATGAAACAGGCCTAAAGCATTGAACTATATAAGTAAACTGGAACGATAAGTTCGCCGCCATCTTTGAAGCCGGCCATGAGTGTTTTCTGCAGGTAGCCCCGGTCCTTTCTTACAAAATGGTGCGAAAAATACAGCTTAAAAATACAGCTTAAAAATTTTCTCACTTTTACTTCTTTCAAGGCATTTATATTTATCCTAGAGCACACTTAGACAACACAACTTTTATCTAAGGCACACAAAATAAGCAAATATTGTTTAACTGCCGAAATATGAAACAAACAAAATGAAACTCGGCAAAAAACCGCGCGAGAATTTATGGTTTTTCTGAGTTTTTAGACTTTCCAGAAAGAGTTCAGAGACAGTTTTATCATAGATATTTGATTAATTTGAACATCCATTACCAATTGTATCTAAGAAAAATCTTAGATACAGTTGTTAATGGATGTTCAAATATCTAGAAACGTATACTTTAATAAGTTAAAATTAAGGATTAAATTAGTAAAAATAGTTCGTGATATATTTTTGTGTATTTATTTTCGTATACATGCCTGCGAACAGGCTATACTTGAGCGCCCGAAATGTGGCTTCACCCATAGGCCTTTATCATAGAAGTTATCGTTCCAGTTTACTTATAGTTCAATGGCCTAAAGTCGGTTTTCATTAGGCGGAATTTTGCGCGCAGAGCGGAAATTTTCTTTGTCTTGTGATTTCTCGGGTGGAACTAATTAGAAAAGACAAAGAGAAATTCCGCTCCGCGCACAAAATTCCGCCTAGTGGCAAACCGGATTAAGGGTCATCGTACAAGTCGACTCGTATTGTAACGAGCAAAACAAGTAAGCGAATACAACGAATGGGCGAGCTTCAGCTTCCGTGCGCAGCGAGAGAGCGACCACTATGGTTAGAATCCGCACTTTGAGCTCAATCCAGCAGCCGCGGAATAATACGAGTCGACTTGTAGCAAGCCCAGGGACATCCTTTGGCGATCCGATGTTACAACACACGAGGTAACCAACTAAACCAGTTTTATTTACACCATGGATAGCTGTGTCAGCTCTAAACTTTAAACAGAAGTCCAGAAACCATCACTTATTGATCCAGTGTTATTACAGGAGGAAACCCTAACTAAACTAACTTCGGATAGTTCTAAACTGTTGTCTCAAAAAATCCAGTAAGGGGATATTTAATGCTATAGACTAATTTTCCAGCTATAGACTAAATTTCCATCCAGACAAGAAGGGCGAAATACTAAAATAAGACTAAAACTGTCTGTACCAGTGTGGATAGTACCAATGTGAAATACGAAGGTCCTTGCTCGAAACGTCGAGTTTCTGCTTGTTTTTTTTTTTTCAGGTATAGTAATATAACCACTCAGCACAGTAAAATAATACTAAAATACTCAAAATTTGCTAATTTCACAGGGCTATATTTTTCGTATTTTACAACATTTCGCAACCAAACTTTGCAATTTTACTAATTTTAGGAAGCTCTTTTGAGCTATAATGCTAGATTTCGGCTTTTTTTGTCTAGATAAAAAGTTAGTTGATAGCTGAAATCATCTATTGTTGAAGGATTTGTAGATGTAAATTTCCCTAAATTTGCATCTAGAAATTCCTTCAACGAACCTTAACTAATTTTATTTATACTGCATGGATAGCTCTAAATCATTCTTTACTTCCCTCTATTAATACAACGTCAACTCACCCAGTAACAAAGGGTTATTCCATTCGTTGATTCTTGGTGTCAAACCTGACATCAACATATGTGCATCAAGCATTGGATAATGGGTATGATATGGCGCGAATGTCAGATTCTCGTTACCAGTTCCTCCAAACAATAATGGCCGCGTCATTGTGCAGACATGAAATATGCAGTCACTACAGCCACTACAGAAACAGAGAGGTCATTTTTATTTAGCGCGCTCAACTTTATTCGCCCAATAAAGCTAAGGAAAAAATTCTGAGGCGGATTTGTAGCAGTTCTAGATAGAGACCATTTTAGGGACTGGTCATAATTTAGCAGGAGGGGTGGGGAGGTGGAAACAGTGGGGGGGGGGGTCACATATTTTTTAGCCAGGAAAAAGGGGGGTTCATAAAATATTAGACAGTTTATGAAGGCGGCGAGGGGGTCTGCTGTTTTAGTTCAATTGAATTGTTTTATACATGCCTTCTCACATTTTGTTTGAGTTGCATTAAAACTGGATTCTTTAAACTTAGAATGAAAAGTTTGAAAGAACTAAAGTTTTATATATGACTATGTATTTTAATTTGGTATAATATAAATTTTAGTATTTGATTTAAAGCGCATTAACTAGAAAATTAGAAAATTTAAAGTGCAATTAGAAAATTTATTGAATGCAGAGTTTAGTAGTAGGTAGGTACATTTTTACTGACACGAGCAAGAGAGAGAGGACATTATTTTTCCAGGTTATGGCAAAGCAGGGTCACAAAATATTTTCCCTTCAAATGTTGAATTACACCTCCCCACTCCCCTGATAAATTATGACCAGTCCCTTAGCAATCTAAACTGTTCCCCCCCGGTCAAAAGATGAGAGTGCATGAGAGTTGGAAGTCACGCGACCTTGGTAAAGCCTGCATGGCTTCCATATGGTCGTAAAAAACGATCTTTCTCAACGGCCAGTTTATAATAGTTTATACCTGTAAACCACATATAAATCATATATTCTCGATAGTTATAAGGGATCGGTCATAAAATAACTGCTAGGGTGGGCTGGAGTGATTTGGGATCGGGGCCATGGAAAATCTTTGGGCAGTTGCGATAGGCCGCCATTTTTTTTGTATGCCCACGGTTGGGCCACCAAACAAAAAACCCATGCATGTCTACTTCAAAAAATAAAGGTAATAATAAAATTAAAAGTAAACAAAACTATCCAAATTATCAAACGCAAATGATGCTATTAAAGCCAGTACTTTGTTTATACAACAACAAGAAGTGCACGAATCACAGCAAATACAACCAACTGGAGAGCAGCTCAGTATCTATGTCAATGTGTTGGTCAAGCTTGGTGGAATTATGTGCGTCAATACAGTGCCGTGTATATTTACAATGTTCATACCTGCAAGTTTTTTCATTATAAAAATGTATTTTCCCAATTTAGATTGGGTTGGTCATGAAAAATGTTTTGTAAGATTAGATGCATGGGCTTTGAAATTTTTATCTACATCCTAAGATGGGTCACCGAACTTATTGGCAAAATTTGTGATTTACCTCCAGCCCACCCTAGCAGTTACTTTATGACCAGTGATTAGGGAATCACTCAGCGTATTTCCAGTTCATCGGCTGATAAGAAAGATCATGACTCAATCAAACCAGGCTTATTAAGCTGTTCTTAACGCTTTCCCAACACTATATATATCAGGTATTCTATTTAAGTCAAAGCATAGTTGGAACACTCATCAAAGCAAATTTTGCCCGCTAATCTAAAGGCGATGCCTGCGGAGGAGGCTACATCAAACCTCTATTTTGTTCATCTAGAGCTTAAAATGTCCCGTAAAAATGTGTGACTGCCATTTCTCAACTCTCGTCAACTTATATCCTCGTTTGACTAGTTCAAGGGCAGGGGGTAACCGAAACAAAACTACCAGAATTGATTACCATCACCGACGAAAACCCAGGCACTGAAAACGTGCCAAGGAAAACTAACACAACATTGTCTGTTATTTGTGATGTTACTCTGAGTGTATATCCACACCGGGCGAGCTTGAAAACTATGCCCGGCCACGGTGGGAATCGAACCTACGACCTTTGGAATACTAGCCCAATTTTTCAAGCTCGCCCGGTGTGGATATATAGACTCAGAGTAACATCACAAATATCATATTCACCTGAGTACACAACACCAACACAGAAAAAATCATAATACTAGATTACATTGGTATCGAAGGAACTAGATTCTGTTCCGAAATATCACTTACTCGAACCAACCTGACCACGTAGCTCATTTGGAATACTAGCCCAATGCTCTGCTAGTTCGATTCCCAGCGTGGCCAGGCATATTTTTCAAGCTCGCCCGGTGTGGATATACACTCAGAGTAACATCACGAATATCATATTCACCTGAGTACACAACACCAACACAGAAAAAACATTGTTGTGTTAAGCCCCGTTCAAACAAGCTCCATGCAACATGGTAGTGCAACATCATCCAAAATAGTTGGTCTCGTTTGAACACTATGTTGGGTAATCTTATTATGTTGCTTGATGTCAGAAAATGTTGGATCGGGTTTGACCTTGTTTAAAATTTCCATCGAACAATGTCTAACACAACCTACAATTGTTGAAGAGACAGCGTTGGACGATGCCGCGCAGTCGTTTGAAAGGGCTTTATAAAGACATAGCCTTACCTTACTGTCAATCTGTTGCACATTGCAATCACAGTGACATTCTCACATCCAAACACATTCACAGTCGTCCTTACCGTTCCCAACACGATCGTGGAGTTATGACATTTTTCTAATGTAACCGACCTGAACATAAAGTAATGCGGAATTAAAATATCATGATGGGACTTGTCCAAATCATTTTGTCAGACATATAGAGAGTTTCCAAGATATATCCGGATTTCTACTATCAGTTATATCGAGTGTGGATGCCCCAAATCCTGATATTTACCCATACATATAACCTTATATTGGCATTATTTTAATATACATATTTATTATATGGCTTTTCAAAATTCTCTATTCTGATTGGTTGACAAGCGGTCCGTAAAAACCCATATCCGGACCGTGGTCCGTATTTTCCGTATCTGGACCGGTGTCCCGGATGTCGTTTATCTGGCGGGAAAATTTGCTTTGCAAACAGAAAAAATGTTTGCTTTTTAATTTTCCAATGGACCATTTGCATTATAGACTAAATTTTGGTCTAGACAAAAATTTCATCACAGCTTCAAAAAGCATCACAAAATTAGTAATATTCCAATGTTTCGTTGCGAAATGCTGTAAAATGCGGATAATATAGCCTTGCGAAATTTGCAATTTTCAGTCATTTTGTATTACAAACGGGAAATTGATGCCCGTGCATGCGTAATACAAAATGACTGAAAAACGGCAAACTTCGCAAGGCTATATTATCCGCATTTTACAACATTTCGCAACGAAACTTTGGAATATTACTAATTTTGTGATGCTCTTTCAAGCTGTGATGAAATTTTTGTCTAGACTTGTCTAGATCAAAATTTAGTCTATAATGCAAATGGTCCATTGTGTGTCATTAAAAATTACACTAGATAAAAATTTCAAACAAACAAATTGTTTTTGGTGCTAGACTTCTCTAGGGGGGGGGGGAGGGGGTGCTAAACACCACTAAGTGGGGTGCGCGCCTCCCTGCAATACAACCGCATGCGTTCCAGAGAAGACGTGCCGAAGCCTGGGAACGCGTTCTCTAAAACAGCGTTCTTGGATTCGGAAAATTCCGAAGCATTGAAAGCAGAGTCTTTGTGCATGTTAGCAATTCTTTACTTTAGCAATAACTAGCAATTATTTTCATTGCCAATGATTAGTAGAAGTCGCTTCAATTTCTAAAAGAGTTTTTTTGCAAATGTTGTGAAATTTGTTGTGTAAGGGGGGGGGGGGGTGAATAGGGGTATACAAATCCGCCCAAATTTGAAGGAAAATCCGCAATCCGACAATGGTCTTGTCTAAATTTGAATCCGCTAAAAGCTCTAGTATGAAGACACAATCCAGGATCCAAACTAAATTGCAAGCTAAATCCACAATCTGAGCCAAAATATTAAATAAATCCGCAATCCGCTGTATTAATAAGATCCGCAAATCCGTGTAAAATATTCGCCAGATCCGAAATCCGAACAATTTTTTCTGTGAAATCCGACGATCCGAAAACCTATTCACCCCCATCCAAGTAACGTTGTGTACATAATTTCTAAACGACACGGTGTTTAAACGCTATTAATATATTATCTTCGTTCACTGTACAAAATACACGCACGCCATTGGTCAAAATCGATCACGTGTGTTTTTGTTACCTGGCAACAACGAATTCTGCGAGTGCATTATTGACAATAACGCATAAAAAAGTGCATTATTGAAAATGGCTTCCCGCAAGGCTGTCGGTTCAAGGTTTACACGAGTCAGTGAAGACGAAATTAATCAAATTGTAGATAATGCAATGTCTAAAAGTATAAAAAGCCAAACAAACTGGTGCATTGTCATCTTTCAAGGTAAATAAACGAAGCAAAAACTGACTTTTCACGATTTTGTCGCGTGTAAAATTCCTGCTTAAAAAGTCTAGTCGGGTTTTTCATTGTATTCGCTGTCTTGTTTTAAAAACAGTTGTACGCAATTATTTTGCAATGTATTTAAAATTAGACTATTGGTAAAAACTTATGATGAAAATGTGTTAATAAATGTTCTTTTCCAAACTGGAATAGCTTTGTTTTGTTTTGTTTTGTTTTGTTTACAAAATTGTAAAAACAGTAATTGCATTGCAAGCAGTGAACTCAGATAATATATTAAATGGGTTAGAGACTTTAAGTTCGTGTTTTGTTTACAAATACATGCACTTGCTGACTGTACAATGAACTCGAAATTTTCAATACTGCACTCGGCTTCGCCTCGTTCAGTATTGAAAATTTCTCGTTCATTGTACAGTCATCTCGTGCATGTATTTGTAAACAAAACACTCACATCAGTCTCTAACCCTTAAATAATGAATATATTGCAACTGAATATTTCAGCGACAGCGTAATGTTTAGTATGATGTTTGTGCTGGACATTCTTGAGACGGGAAGAACCCAGATTTTAATGCCCTATGTCTATGTTTACTGTATGTACCACGTCCTCGTACACTGTATGGTATTTCCTAAGTTTCCCGTCGTTGAATATCGTTCCAGGAAAAGACTTATTGGACTTATTGGACTCCCAATCTCGTTCCCCGAGCCTGCGATCCTCAGGAAGGAACATGAGGCTCTGGGATAATCCGTTTCAGGGAGGAATCTGATTGGCCGTTGATATCGAATGCGCAGTTCGATCTTAGCTAGGATTCCTGGCTTCCGGCAACAGATTATCCCAGAGCCTCACGTTCCTTCCCGAGGATCGCAGGCTCGGGGAACGAGATTGATTGGACTCCTTGATGCTTTGATTCCCTCCTGATGAAGTAGGTTTTTATTTTTGTAATTTTAACTCCGCTTGCTCGTAAAGAAACAATTCGCCTTCTTTCGTACTGCGAAAGTTTTGCCATGTTCGCTGCTGTTATGTACACACGAAATCACGCTGGTGCTCGTATAGGAACCATAAAAATTTCCGGTGGTTGTCGATTTTACCACGAATGTAATCGGAACGCGTTCCGGAACGCGTTCCAGTTGATTTGAAACGCAAAATCGAACGCGTTCGGAACGAAATGAGAACGAAATTGGAACGCATTCTGAAACGTGTCCACAACGCGTTCCTATAGTGTGTTTTTGTTAGGTTATTTCTGAGTAATCTTCACTTCATTACGAAAAATTCAAAGCCAAGAAAAACTTACCAAACAGGAGCAAGAAGGTAGATATAAGAATAATGACATCTGTGGACCTTGATATTCACATCAATCAAATGATCGCCCGCCTTAAAAAATCAGCGAAATAAATCAGTTAGAACATACATATATTATACACATACTACTACATTCAAAGTTCAAAAACAAAAAGTACCGGAAGTATACACGTAACCATCTGCCAATCTATATAAACTATATAATGTTCAATTCTATTTCAGTAAACGGCAGATCGCTAATGGAATGTCTAAATTGATAAAGTGAGGTTGCATATTTTCCCTCAGATGGAAGATTGTTGCACAACATAAAACCTATATTAAGATATGTGCGCCTTACTAGACTAGCTCTTAAACACGGCGCTCGTTGATAGCCTTATACCATAGAAATAATAGATATCTGTTATTTGTATGAGTAGGACGCTCTTAGTTTAGCACGTCTAACAGTAAGAGCATCCCAATTTAGTCTTTGTAAAAGATCATTCGATCTAATATATCTTGCTCCAGTGGTGACTTTAGCCGCACGATTTTGGAACATCGGTTGAAAGTCTCCTTCGTCTATATTTAGTACATACATACCTTTGCTACTGTCTGTTTACAAATCTGGTACAAAATCACCAGTCGATTCCTGACAGAAAAACAGAGGATAAGATAAATTTAGGAGATGAAACTTTACTCATGTTGGCTCTGACGGCCCGTTTACATTATCTTGCAATTTCTGCTGCGACTTTAGGTGCGACTCTCTTCTGATGATGGATGTCAACGAATGGATGAGTTTTGAATGTTCAGATGAGGGAACATATATTCATAACTCATCCACTCGTTCACATGCACCAGAAGACGAAAATCACACTTCTAGAATCGCAATGGCAACGGATCTTAATAACTGTCGTTCCAATTGAAGTGTTCCTCAAATATTGATTCAGTACATTACCTCGGGCTGACCAATTCATTTCATCAAGTTCCCAGAAATATTCATACACTTCCTAGTATAATTGTAAACTTCCTGTTGAATAGTTTGAATGCACCAATCACCTTTGTTGTTTGTGCAACTAACCAATCATAAATAGAAAGGAAGTGACCAAAAATGATCAAATTCTTGGAATTGGCTCTTTCACAGGAAGTGTATGAATATTTCGAGGAACTTGATCAAATGAATTGGTCAGCCCGAGGTAATGTATTGAATCAATATTTGAGGAACACTTCAATTGGAACGACAGTAAGCCTGGCTTATTTTTCACCTCCTGGCAAATGTGATGAAATGAATGATATGCAATATACTTAGAATTATTTACTTCTGAAAAGCGACTCTATGCTTTTGTTTGAGAGTTCACTCGTTTGCATCCGTCAGAAACACAAAAGCGCCGACAATATTGCGATTTTAGGTGCGACAATCTTCTTCTGATGGATGTGAACGAGTAGATGAATTATGCATCTTCTGATTATATGTACGGTACCGCATTGATGTAACCTCATCACTAGAAAATCCAGAAAACATCCACAGATGTCTTCTGGATTGTCTAGTATGCTTCATATGAATATCTATATCTCCTATATCTCATCCCCTCGTTCACATCCATCAGGAAAATAAAAATCGTGCAAGAAATCGCCGCAGAATTTACAAGTGTAAACTGATCTTGGCTGGCCCACTCAGGGCCTTTCAGAGGGGGGGGGGGCACTGGGGGCAATTTGCCCCGGGTCCCCATGCAGTTTAATGGGGGCCCCCAAATTTGCAAAATTTAAAAAACATAATTTCGAACGTTTTTTTATATAAATAACGGTAGGAGAAAAAATTTTCTAAACCAAAATTTTACATTTATTGACCGAAAAAAAGGGGTTGACCCATGTTGGAACAGGCATATTTGTCCGGAAAATTTTTTTTTTGAATCGAAACAAAAATTTGCTCCGGGCCCCCGAATTTCTCTGATAGGCCCTGGGCCCACTGATCTTAAAATGAAGCCTGTAAGACTGTTACTAATATTATAACTTCCGGATTTATCTTGTATGCCTTGTCATTCTTAAAGGGAAATGCCAATATAAATTATTTAAAATTAATAATGTCTTATTTGAAAGAACATTTAATATTATATATAAACTTCCTTTACAAATACGAAATTTTTATCTTGCAAACCACATGTCATTATCAATACGAAACTCGATTTTCCAAAGTCTTTTCAGTACCCAATTAACTCACAACATTTAAGAAATTTTTCGAAGAAATTTAGTCCCACATGAAGAAGTTTGAACAAGTTTACCCTGCTTGTGACGTTATCAAAAACTCAGTTAATTAGTTCAATTATAATACCAAGGTGGTGGACTGCATACTGTTTTTGGTCAAAATATTTCGAAAACCAAGCAAGGTACAAAAAAGTTGTATAAAGGGTCTTCATATATAACTTTAAAAGTTGTTTCAAATAAGACAAAGTTATATTTTATTCCCATATCCCTTTAAAAGACACATTTCCACCTCTTTTCACATACCTTGGAGGAGCATATCTCGTATTTTTAATAATCCGACCACCGACAGGTCCACCCTGCAGCGTTGTTTCGTGTTTGTCATGATGTTTGGAAATGTGTTCTGCTGTTAACTTTGAACTTTCGTCCTCGAGACTTTGACTTAAATCTAAAACTGATTATAAAATATACCATAAATTTCAGAAAATGTCACTGAAAACCAGAGAGCCAACACGGTAAAGAATTTTGAGGTATAAATAATGTTATTATTATTATTATTAAAATTAATGGTTTCTCCCAAAAGGGTTTTTCAGAAACCCATTTACAAAATTATTTTATAAAACTACAATTTTAAAATATTTACAGTTTCTACAAATTAGGAATAAAAATGACTGATATCTAAGTTTTTAATAGTCTAAAATAGGAAGTAGTCTATAGTCTAAGTAGACAGTAAGTGTTCTTTAAGTTGACTTTTAAATGTCTTAAGTGATGTACATTTCTTTAGCTCAGTGTCTAAGTTACCCCAAATTGAAGCTCCTCTAAAAGCAAATGACCGTTGCCCTGCCGCTGTTTTAAACAATGGTATCTGTATTGAGTTGCAGTTCCGCGTAGACCGATTATGAATACAAGATCGTTTCTCAAACATGTCACAAAGATATTTCGGCGCTAAGTTGTTCATGCATTTAAAAGTCATTACGGCATCACGGAAATAGAGTAATTTGTCAACTGTAAGCCACTCAAGATTTTGGAGTAATGGGCTTACATGATCGTATTTCTTGGATCCTGTGATTATTTTACATGCAAAGTTTTGAATAGATTGAAGTTTCTTTATATTAGTGCATGTTGTATTTGACCACACAGTGGAACAATAGAGCAGTTTACTGATCACTAATGAAGTGATTATCATTGTAAGTGTTCCCTTGTCAAAATTATTTTTAACTCTGTTTATCTGGCACAGTTTATAAAGGCAGGACGACACTAGATTCGATATGTGCTTATCGTAACTTAGGTGACTGTCCATTAGAAGTCCTAGATCTTTGGCAAAATCAACTGGTTCTAGAATCTTCCCCATAAAAGAGATCGAAATATTGACATCAAGTTCGTTCATCAGCTGCCTGGTTCCAATGATCATGAATTTTGTTTTATCTGGATTCACCAAAAGATTGTTTTCACAGCACCAAGACGCAATTTTATGTAGGTCTTCTTCCAGATTTTTAATTCCAGTGTCAGCTTCCGTTAAAGGAAACGATAACAAAGTTTTCGTATCATCAACGTATGATTCAAGATCACCATTGTAAGATGCACAGGGTAGATCGTTAAGGTATATACAAAAGAGCAATGGCGATAAAATGGCCCCTTGAGGTACACCATAAGTTATCGGTAATGGATCTGATAACGTAGAGTTAATACGAGTTGATTGGAAACGGTCTGTTAAGTAGCTTTTGAACCAGTTTACTGTTGATTTGGATGCTCCGACATTTGATAGTTTATGAAGTAGTCTCTGATGGTTTATACTGTCAAATGCTTTTGAAAGATCAAGCAACACTAGAGCTGAGAGTTTCTTTTTATCCATGGCCTTTAAGATGGTGTCAGTGATAAAAACGTTTAATGTCTCTGTCGAGTGAAGTTTTTTATTTCCACTTTGGTGGGAGGATAGTCGGTTGTTGCTTGTTAGGTAACAGCTAAATTGCTCAAGAGCTAATCTTTCACAGATTTTAGATGCGACTACAAGAAGGGAAACTGGTCGATTATTTGAGGGTACCTCGTGGTCACCTTCTTTATGAATAGGAATAAGTTCTGCCTTTTTCCATGCCAGAGGAAAAGTAGAAGTACGAAGGGAACAATTTATAATTTCCGTTAAAGGACCCAAAATGACCGGAAGACAGTCCTTTATGATCCGTGGGTCAATCTTATCCGGACCAGATGATTTATTGAGAGGTAACGATAAAACTACTCGACGCACTTCGTGGCAAGTTACGGCTCTAAACTTAAATTGGTCGATTTCAGTTATAACGACTGATTCGATTGATTCTCGTAGATTGATGTTGTTAGTATCTGCTAGATGAGAAGACGCCCTTGCTGCATTTTCACCAACCGATGAAAAAAACTGATTGAAATAATTTGCAAAAGATTTATGGTCTCCTTTATAAATTTGTCTTTCTTTTCCTTTTGATGGTATAAGACGGTTTACTATTTTCCATAGAGACCCCGGATTATCTTTATGTTGCCGTACTTCATTAGAGTTATACTCATTCTCCGCCTTCTTAAGATCTCTCTTCACATTATTCCGGTAGCTCTTATAATTGACCCAGTCTATCATATCCCGCGTACGTAGAAATCGTTGATGTAATCGATCTCTCTCTTTCATAAGGTTTCTGAGGTCTTGGGTAATAAATGGGCATGGTCGGTTACGGATCTTAATTGTTTTAATTGGAGCATGAACGTCTAGTGTAGACTGGATCGCATGGTTAAGAATGTTTAGTTTAGCATTTACATCGTCGCCGTCAAAAATAGATAGGAGACAATCTGATTTGTCCGCAAGATCAGCTGCAAAATAATTCGGTACATAATTTTTAAAGCTACGTGCTGTAATGTATTGCGAAGGTTGCTTAGGAGACTTAATCTTAAGTTCAGCGTACACAAGTAGATGGTCACTGATTGATGTAAGCAATACTCCACTTCGGTACACTATTGACTTCGACGACACTAGGATAACATCTAGCAATGATTGAGTTGCATCAGTGACTAATAATGCACCCACTAGTGACTCAAAATATATTGGGAAAATTACTTTTTTTCGTAAAGTAAATCCTTGCTCAAACAAATGAGAAATTTAAAACTTTACTCAAAATATTGAGTAAATTTGTTTAGGAAATTAAACCGTCCAAAAAGTATTAATAAAAAATCGCACTTTCTGACAATTCATATACCCGAAAAACTGTGAATAATCTTTATTTCTTCTTTTTCTTCGTTATGAAAGCATAAACAAGAGCTCATTGTAAAATAAGAGCTCAGAAAATGTACATTTTCAACTAAAGTTGTTTATTCTCAGGTTGACATTTTGTGTTTAATCCAACGCATGATCCACGCGCGGTCGTATCTGTATTTAATCGGCACACCTGTGCGATTAATGTTTAATCGGCACGGTTTTTAATCAATCAGAATGGGGTAAATTGACTAAAATAATATTAGTATAGGTAATCATGCAATATATGGCGAGTACAATTAGGGATTAATAGTACGAGTGATGTTTGGAAATTTTGCCAAAATTGGACGAGCCGCCGGGGCGAGTCCAATTTGGCAAATTTTCAAACATCACGAGTACTATGTTTGCGATGTTACTCTGAGTGCATATCCACACCGGGCGAGCTTGAAAAATATGCCCGGCCACGGTGGGATTCGAACCTACGACCTTTGGAATACTAGCCCAATGCTCTTCCAACTGAGCTACGCGGTCAGGACAGTTCGAGTAAGTGATATTTCGGAACAGTATCTAGTTCCTTCAATACCAATGTGTTCTAGTAATATGAATTTTTCTGTATTGGTGTTGTTACTCGAACTGTCCTGACCGCGTAGCTCAGTTGGAAGAGCATTGGGCTAGTATTCCAAAGGTCGTAGGTTCGAATCCCACCGTGGCCGGGCATAATTCTCAAGCTCGCCCGGTGTGGATATGCACTCAGAGTAACATCGCAAACATATTATTCACCTGAGTACACAACACCAATACAGAAAAAAATCACGAGTACTATTAATCCCTAATTGCACGATTATAGATTATAGGTTTTTAATTAGTTTTTTTGCAAAAAATATTAGTGTTTTCGGTATCTGTCAACATCTGTGCATGGTGATTTCATCTAATCATCTTAGCACGATTCTAATTTGTATATTCTTAGTATGGTCTACGGATCTGCGTCCATCATCATCCCTTCAAATATTTTGTGTGTTTTTCTCTAATATTTTGAGCTCAAATACATTGAAAAATCTCACAAAGACAGCAGTCAACTCGACAGCTTCCTGCTATACTTGACTACTGGGCATAATTTAACTAAGTTATCATATATTCTATTATAATAAGTAACTTTAACTATTTTTGTAACGTTTGTACGTTCTTGTATTCTTTTTTTGTATATAATGCAAAATCATTAAAAATCTGAAATCTGGTATTATAAATATCTTGTATACAATCTAATCAGATCAAATGTCATCTGATCTGCTATCTTTACACTTACTGTCAGCCTTGCCATGACCGCTGGCATCATTATTACCACTGCGCGCTCTCAATCCATCGGAAAATAAACACGCAGAAACTCCAAATGGACTGATTCCGAGGTATGATCTGATCCAGGATTTGAGATAACGAAATGACCACGTTCTAGAAAGCTACAAATAAGAGAACAACGTTGGTCACAAGCTGTATCATCTTATGGAAAAAATGTCGCCCACTTTGGAACGAGGATGTAATGTTCCACATTACGCTGGAAACCCAGGACCCTACTGAAAAACACATCTTGTGACGTAGGCCTCCTGAATAAAAAATGCTTGAATGAATCTCCTCTCCATCTCATAAGCGGAGCCTAAGATCGTGGGTTTGATTCATAGTTGGCAAATACTTTCCTAAGAGTATCAAGGATACTCTTAGGAAAGTATTTGCCAAGATTGCTGCCCTACGATGACTGAAACGTATGGTGCCAAAAGAAACATTAATTAAGCTTTGTAAGGCTTATGTTCTACCGCATCTTGAATACTGTAGCCCATTGCTTATAGGTATAAGTAAAACACTTAAAAATAAATTAGAAAACGCTAATTATTATGGCTTACGTACATTGATGAAATTAGGAAGAAATGTGAGTTATGAATCGGTTTTGAATTTAGCAACTATGCGCTCGCTTGAACACAGGAGAGTTGAGCAGTCATTAATAATATTCTATAAAAGTTTCAAGAAAAATGGCTCTACCTATATTTCTATTTTTTTTTAAACTTCGTAATACTCCATATGCTTTAAGAGGTAGTGGTCATAATGTGGTACAGGATGTGTATAACAGTCGTTATTTGCATAACTCCTATAAGTACATTATTTCCCATATTTGGAATCAGTTACCACTTTCTGCCAAGTCATCTACCTCATTATCTGAATTTAGAAACCAGATTCACCAATCTGATTTACTTGGCTGTCAATGCTATGCATGCATTTAGTAGTAGTAGGCTAGTAGTGTTAGTATATTAGTATATAGATTATTAATTAATTAATACCATGTAAATATTTTATATATTGGTAAATAGGTATTTTGTCGAGCACTTCTATCATGAGCCCCTGGCTCGAGTGATTGGGCAACCACACTCTGTGTGTGTCATTCGACATTAAATAAATTATTCTATTCTATTATTCTATTCTTATTTCAGACTCATGGCACTTATGCGAAAAGAGTCAGCCAACGCTTTACGAAAAGTCGTGAGTTTTCTCCGGATTTTCCACACAGAGAATGTCGACATGGTGGGTTGGGATAATCCCCAAACTGACCCACCGTATCAGTGCTCCGTGATCAGACATGAGTCACAATGTGGCTGCCAAGAGCCGCTCTTAGGAACCTTTCGACTTGAACAGATTGACTTGGGTACTTCACATTTCAGTTTAGCTCTAAACTGCAAGTAAGATAAATAGCACCCCTCCCCAGACAATAGGGAGCTTTAGATTTGACTACGAGTACGAGTACAAGATTCGTCATGCGATACGCATGCTGTATGCATACGCCATCCCGCATTGACGCGAAAAAGTCGTAGCCCTCGCCCATCTGAGTACGAAATGGTGGAGAAATCGTGTAGTCCTCACGACGACTTTTCAAAAAAACACAAAGAAAGTTGGCTTTTTTTTGTTTTCTCAAAATAATTTGTAGCATTTATATAGCGTTTATCCGGCGCAAATAATATATCAGTACTAAATATCAGGCCTGTTTTTAATGTTATGACTTATTTACACGTTTTGTAGAAGATTTTAGTCTGCAGGAGATTTAGTTTATGAAACTTTTTCTCTCGTTGTTGGTTTACTGCTACAAAAGCAAACATTTGAATGGAAACGAAAACGACTACAGTAATTTCCTCGCACGCGATCAAATCTCGTACTCGTACTCGTACTCGTAGTCAAATCTAAAGCTCCCTAATAGGGAGCTTTAGCAGCGAGTACGAATAGGAGATTTGATCACGTGCGAGGAAGTTGTAATCGTGGCCCTCCTCAGAATCATTTTAACCCTCGCAATGCTCCAGCTAAAATGAGTCTGAGTCGGACGAAAAACGTATTTATGCCCGCGAACATCAACTCTATTGTTATAGCATATCTACCTTAGAATAACCATCACCATTAGACGAAATAACAGCGAGTTCTTGCAGATCATTAACAGATCTAAATAAAGTAAAAAATAAAGTAAGATAGGATGCACCAAATCTCCTTCCGTCCGGCCAACTGCAAAACCACTACCTACCAACGCTCCTTCTTTAGTCGTGCAAATAGAACCTGGAACTCTTTACCAACTACACTAAGATCTCCTGGCATCAATATTAGACAATTCAAAACTGCTTTACAAAGTTATTACCAGACATAGCCCTGAGAGAATGCTTCAACGAAGAAGATCCGAGGACATGGAAGACTATATGTCTGAAGTAACAGTAGCCGTTACTTACGTTCTAAACTAACTTGTTGTTTTTAGTCTCCAGTCCATGTACTGTATGTTATCATAATTGTGCGTATTTTTGCATACAGCTATTTCAATTAAGGTTGTGCATGAGCAAAGCGTTAAAGTCGAATACGAGCGCGAAAGGCTGCTGGGAATCGCTAACAAATTAATGAATTTTCATAGCGATTCCCAGCAGCCTTTCGCGCTTGTATTCGACTTTTCCACTTTGCTCGTGGACAACCTTAATTGAAATAGCTGTAAAGGCCCCACAGTGATTGGTTTACACTGTTGTGGTATCCCTGCCATTCTTGCCCATGTTTATTGTCTAGATGTTCTGTTACGTATTTTTGGCAAAGTTTAATAAATAAATAAATTAATTAATAAATAAAAAGTAGTGACTCGCGTCTAAAGACACCTCGTTTGTCAGGGCGGAGGTTTTCACTACGGGGACAATAGGCACCTTAAGATTGACGTATTTTTCGCAAACGTCTAACCGCTAACCGCTAGAAACCACGTGACCAGGTGCTTGCCGTCACGTTCGCCGTAAATCGCTCACGTTTTAAACCTCAAGAGTGCATTCTACAGGTAAGTGATTTACCTCAGCATTTTATTCAACTGTTATTACTTCATTGCACGTATATGAAATATATTAAGACAAATATACATCTGATCTTTGATTTGGATGGAAAAAAGTTTAACCGAACCATGTATAAATTCGACTCTCCAATTTATTTGGGTTAAACAAACATGAAAATTTCGATTGTCAGTTCAATATTTTGTGGCCGATTTTGGTATGATAGATTTCTTAAATTGAGATTTGTTTATTTTAAGTCGTCTTTTGAATGTCGTTTTAATTAATAAACGTTTACACTTGAACATTCACGATAAAGCAAGTTCAAAATCATTGATGACCTTTTCACAGTCCGTGTTTAAACATACTTCATGCATATTTCTTACTTACATTTATACTTTCATATTTCAATTCATTTTAACAAATTGGTAGTGACATCCTATAGTTTCGACGGAAAAATATTGAACGCGAAGAAAAACGTCAATCTTAATTTCATATTTGCAAGTACGGCAAACGTGAAACCGCTAACGGCAAACCGCGGTTTGCGGTTAGGCGTAAATAAAATAAACGTCAATCTTAAGGTGTCTAGTATTCTCCGCGGGGAAATTTTTGAAATTTGAAGCCCTGAAATACCATTTCGTTCATTCTGAGCACAACATTTATTCGTTAAATTTGTCGTCACAGTAACTTACATTTCAGGCAGAAATTAACAAAATACATGGTCAGGGCAGAAAAAAAAGAATTTTCTTCCTAGGAGCACAACCTGGAGACAAAAATTTCCTCCAGAAATGTGCTAAATCTGCATGTGCATAAACATATAGTGTTCTAGCTGACCATGGTTTTAAATTAATTAAAGGAGTAATGTCTGTCAACCGTATGTTGTTGCGCCCATAGTGGGACATGGGTGTTTAGGTTTCGAGTTTCCTTCAAATTTCAATAGCAAATCTTCATTCAAACGAAGTTACTACAGCTGCAAGCAGTGCTCGGATGCTCGTCTATTTTTCCCACCCATGTATATGGTGACCCGCCATATCGCTGCTTGAATATTTTCTCGCGTAGCCGAAAATCAATCGTTTCAATATAATAAGTAGTATTCGCAACTCAGAAACCGGAAATGTAAACTTAATATGCAGGGCTCGAAGTAGAGAAAAAAGATGGCCTGCCAGTCAAAAATTTTTTGGCAGGTGAAATAAATTTTAGCCTGCCATTTTTATTTATTGAACTGCCAAAATGGCGATGTCTCATTTGAGTCATATTGTAAAAATCAATGTTTTCAATATTTTTAAACTTGTCTATTTTACAACAGTAAACTGGGTCATTTACATTTCAAATGACTAACGTATTTAATCAACTAAATGATTTAGTATATATGAATTGTGGTAAGCAAATGAAGTCAATTATATCTATAGAATTTCACCTGCCATTTTTTTTTGACTTGGCAGTTCAAATTTGTTTTCGCCTCCATGCCATTTCTAAGATATGGCCTGCTTTTGGTCATTGGCCGCTATTTCGAGGCTTGATATGGAATACCAGAGTTTTCGTCAAGGGGTGCTGAAGACCACTACAAGGGTGTTGGATACCAGCAGAAGGGGTGCGAACCCCCACCCCCCGAAAGACCTCTGCTCAAAGGTGCATGAACTCACCGTTTATCTAAAGAGCCAGCAATTAAGAATCCTAATGCATGAACAGCTTCATCTGTTAAAGCAGGATCACTCCCAACACCACCAAGGCCTGACGAATAGGAGTCTAAAATAGGACAATACCGTGAACGTTATAACTGTCGATTATAGTACCTGGAAATTCCGCCATCAAACCAACCTGGTTCGGTGACAAGTTCCAGAATATCTTCCAAATGATTGAGAACAAACATCAATTGACCGTGTTCATCTAAACTCTGAAGTCAGATTCACAATACTTATTACAGTATATTTAAAATCTTAACACTACAAGGTACGTGATTGAAAGGGTTTTTGTACATGGAAATTTTGAGGGTGAATTGACGATTCCCCTTATTACGTTTTCGTAGCGCTTTACATTGTGGTTATAGTAGTATCACTGATATTCAAGATGGCTTATTTTTGTCCCGACCCGTGCAAGAATTTTTAAAAAAAGCTAGGGTCAGGTGCGCGATAGCCAACAGCAAAATATTCGCGAAAACATTCAATATTTTCATTCGAGGCCGCTATCTTTATCAGTGATACCACTATAACCACAATGCAAAGCGCTACGAAAACGTAATAAGGAGAATCTAGAATTGTTATACATTTATTAGCCATCACCAGGAGCAGTTGGTGAAAATGATATAAAACTATAGACCCTCTGGCACGAATCGAACCTGCGATCTAAGATCTATCCGATTGAGCTATATAGTTGAGCTCTAAGGGACCGGTCATTATTTATGGCGGGGGGTGGCACCGAAGAGAAAAGGGTTGGGTATGACTAAATTTTGAGTGAGTAAAAGGTTGGGTAAATGAAAAACAAAACAACTCAAGGGTTGGGTCATAAAAAGTTATTGTCATTTCCAAAGCATGACTCACTTAAATATTGGAGACTGAAAAGCAATGTCAACAGTCGTATGTCAATACAATATGCGTGAATCAATCAATCAGAGTCACTATCTTGATCATTTAAAGTTTAAAGTTTGTTCGTTCACTGCAACCAGGTATATCAATCATGTTTCGCTCGCTACTCTGGTTTCCGATTTGTTGGGAGACAAATGGTGTCTCCAAAAAAAGTACATGTACATACAACATGAAAGTTTAGTTATCAAACTTGTGTCACAGAAGTGGTAAAGGACATGTGTGACAACTGAATGGGTGGGTAGGGGTGGGTAGTTATTTTTTAATTGATATTTGAGGTTGGGTAATCAAAGGGGTGGGTAGTTATTTTTTAATTGATATTTGAGGTTGGGTAATCAAATTTTTTGCTTTTTAATGATTGGGTCAGCAAAATTTTTCCCAGGAAAAACATTTCTCTTCGGTGCCACCCCCCACCATAAATAATGACCGGTCCCTAACCACGACAGCCGAGAGTTTTATATATGATAAAGCTTATCTTATGAGTTCATTCGCGAGTAACTTTAAAGTGCACATACAGCTATTTTAAATTTTACATATTTGTAATATCCAGTACATTTTAAGATGAAATGCAATATATTTTCTTTGCGAAAAACGTCATCCTCATGGTCTGTTTGGCTGTTGAAGTTTCCGGAACTGACGTCATTTAAGTCATTTTTGTTGCAAGACACAATAGAAGACTAATCTGCATTGCCTTCCGGAAACTTCAACAAATAGTGCGAGGGCCGTATGTTAGATAACTTTTATGGTTAATACGTTTTCCCTCGTGAAATAAAGTTTCTATTCTAATTCTATTCTAATTCTAGTTCTAATTCTATTCTATTCTATTAGAAAACATGCTTAACATAATCTGAAGCAAACCTTCGATCCAATCATTCCTTTACGATCTAAGTCAATGGGTGACCTGTTTTTTGTTGGCCATCTGTATTATAGTGGAGTCAAGGAGTTCAAATACTGCAAGTGCGGAGTGCCATCGGTGGCAGAGTGGTCAAAACAAAAAAGAGCCTGGATCCCACCAAAAATATGGCGTGGCATTGCGTGAGCTTTGTGCGGAGGGGGGGGGGGGATCTACACAAATCATTCATAGGAGGACCATGGTCTGTACGTAAAAGAAAAACGGGTACGGGTGTTTTTTGTTCACTATTTGCAGGGAGTTTCAGTAGTAAAATACTTCAAGACGATGCACAATTGCTCGTCAAATTTTTCCTAAATCTACGGTGAACCTCAACAACAATTATCGGATTCATTATAAGTGTTGATCTTGCGTTTGGTATCAAATATATGCAATTTAACAAAATTTACTTGCTTCTACAAGGCATAAAGTGTAAAGCTGACCACCAAGCGTTTCCTTATTGTATAAGTGTTGAGTGAAACCCACCAATTGTTGGGGGTGCAGACTCTTTGAGAGGGGGAACTCTGTGTGTATAAAGTTCAAATTTTTTGTGGGGCAAGGGTGCGGGCATTTTGTGAGGGGTGGGTGTTTTGTGGTACTGGGGGTGCCAATTTTGTTGGGGAGGGACTGAGTGGTGAAAGAAACACCCCTAGATCCCAAGAAAGTGCGTTAATGTTCTTCATTACGTTTCTTTTTCCATTTACAATATTTTATAAAATAAAAATAAGACATGTTGCATTCCAAAGGATACTCTTCCCCACCACCAACAAGACTTTCTCTAAGAGAGATTTTGTGAACTTGTTGAATGTAGAGAAACAAAATAAACTGCACTGTATCAACTGATATATCCGCTTTCATTCGTTCTAAACAAGAAAAAGCAGCACAAGTCAAAGTAAAACTGGCAAATTTCTTAATGCTGGTTCCTATTGGAATTTTATATATTTGATTTCTAAGTCTAATACTCTGAAAGTCTAATATTGTGTGTACCTAAATGTACTCCATTGTACTATACCAGTAGTATACAGTATTGTACTCAGGGCGCGAAATAACGGCTGGGAGGTACGCCGGTCAAGGTAACCGGCCAACTCAATTTTAGCTCGGACACCCCGAATTTCTGGCCGTTCAAATTATTCAACTTAAAGCAACGCCTAGTAAAGTATACCCCTAAAAATGTGACTATTTTCCCAGTATAGCATTACAAAAAGCCTTACTGTAATCAGTAGTTAAAAAGTCCTTCACATAAAACAGCTTGCACTGCGCTAAAACCATGGCCTTAATTAGCTTTTAAGCCAAAGGCATGGCCACACGGGCTTTGTGACGTACTGCGTGGGAAAGCTGGCGTACATTGAAGTTCTTTTCCCGCTAGATATTGGACAATTACTTGCATGTTATGGTTCTTAAAACAGCCTCATCACAATACTGTTTCAAATTCTCAAATTGAAATATATTAAACATTTATGTACATTATTTTCCAGTACACACTTTTCAATTTACAAGGACACATTCGCCTTTTACGAGGACACAAAGTGTGTACAAGGACACGTCATTTTAATGCCTGGATGAGAATTTGTTGTGGGCCCCTGTGATCATGGCCCCTAAAATTAAAACATTGGAAAACATAAAAAATATAGATTTTAATTTTGAAAATGAAGATTAAGGAAAAAGATTAATTAGCAACTGAAATGTTTCATGTTTGATCAGTAATACCCCCACCCCAATCTTGATCCATCCATCACTGGGCCCAATCAGACATTGCTCATTCTTCATTGTTTTCAAGACCCCAGCATGTCCCTGTTTGAGGAACTTCCCTCAAGTCTTGGTGCCACAAACACACTGTTTACCTCGGTCTCAGTAAATAAGTGATAAATAGTACAATGAAGTCTATTGCTATGTACTGTTAGTAGTGAACTGTACTGAGAATTCTAATGTATATTCTTTTGCACTCTTGATACCGCCGGTACCAAATACATAACGCAGTCGCAATGTCTTAAAATTCCATAAAATTATGAAATACCTATTTCATTGTCTGTCGCACATTTTGCAAAGTTTTCCTTCCACTCCAACTGAGTCGTACAACTGTCTTCTGCAACCATGTCAAATGTCTCAAAATACCTTAAAAGTTTAAATTAAAGAATAGCTTTAAAGATTGTCATACATCGGGGACAGTGCATGGGATTGAGAAATAAAATATACTTCTCATAATTTAGTAAAATGTGCTAGATGCCTGATTCCATAGCTCTATGGCTATTTGGCTCTATGGATGTTTTATAGAATAATCCAATAAGATAAACAAAATTAAGATAAACATGTGCATTCATGAATATTTTTAATATGATGAATTACGTACTATCATCTGCATGCATATATAAGGATGTCATGAACAGTTACATTGAATGTAAGGATGTCATATGAACAGTTAGACATTAATGTCGATCAATTCTTATGTAAGTATCTCACGATTATTGTCAAGGAAATTATCACGCGATATTCGATAACATCGCGATAAATGCAACAAAAACAATCATGAGCACATTTTTTCAATTTTAATTAGAGCATAGTAAGCTTATATATAATCTTATTAAAAACAAGTAAAACAACAAATTAAAGTAATATGAAGGCTTTTTCTAGTCTAATATTTACTGTTCATAGTACTGTGTCTCCGCTGGCACAAATACCGTGGGCACACAACGCAAGCAAAGGCTGCAATTTCATTGTTCAGCAGATTAATACGTTAAATATTAGCTTTTGTATATCGTATTAAATTCGTATGTAATTCAGGAAGTAGTTTAAATTCTTTTAAAATTATATTTTCTAGGAATTGAAACAATTTTTTAGGATTTTTATAAAAGCTATATGCACATGCGAAGCAATATCACGATAGTCATCGAGCATGACAATAATTTCGATATATCATCGCTCAAGTTTCTACCTTCGATACAATAATCACGATTGAAAATATCGTCGGTGATAAATCAAAATATCAAAATATCGCCCAACCCTATGTAAGTTGCAACAAATATTGAAAATTTTGTAATCAATATATACTTAGTTCAGCCAATACACCTTTTCAATAATTACGTCATTTGGTCCAGGACCCTCGCTCTTATGAATCATGAGCCAATCACCTTGCATAATTTACTAATGAGAGCGAGGCTCCAAGACCAAAAAGTACATGTGTCATAAACAATTTTTTCTCCCCTCCCCCTTCGGATGGCAGAAATTTCCTCCGTGGGGGAGTGTGGGCATTGGATGTTTTCTGGAATGACCCATTATTATTTAGTGCAAGACTCTCCCTTGATGAGTGAAATTGTCTCGTGTTAGACAGAGTAAAGTAATCTGGCATTATGACATAAGGCACAGCAAAATAATATGGAGTGCATTTGGTCATATTGCAGCTTAATGGGTTAATTAAACACAATTGGTTGATCAGATTAAAACTTGTCAATGGTCTTGACAAACATGAATTGTCTCACATGAGAACAGACAATGTTTTTAATTTTATGCAAACAATGGTAAGTGACTGCTTACATCCAAGCGAGTTCTTCTGAAATCTTGAATTTGCCACAAGCAACGTGCTCCCAGACTGGGTAACTACAATTTAACATTGAATATAATGTCAATTAGTCATGCAATACCAACAACACTACATTATTACATGCATTACGATTATGATAGGATTGCCCATAATTAATATAATCCAAGCTACTCATTGGTGACTAAATAATATCACAAAATGTAAACAAAGCGTTTGTTTACATTACGGACTGGCAGCACTTTTAACCAGGGTGCATTTTAATTAAGTAGCCTACGCCGAAGATCTTCGGCGTGAGTTTGGTAAATTACAATAGTATCTATAGTTAATATTGGCGTATCTTCGGCGTAGACTTTACATGGAATGCACCCTGGACCTTTAAGTATGATGAAAGAAAAACAAACAAAGATTATTGACAGTTTGTCACTGCAGGTATGATTTGAATATTGCTCTCAAAATTGACAAAGGCGGGTATGGCAATGTGTAAACATAGCTTAATGTATTATTTTCTGCTAGTGCTTGACAGGAAGGAAGGCTGGGAGTCAAAATAAAATTGAAAAATGTCTGACCAAATGCCAAAATGAGTCAAATGACTGATCAAATTTCACTTTGGTTAGACTTTTTCCAGACAATTTTGACTGTTATTGCAGGCTCTGATACTGTGAACATACTGGAAGCAAATCTTCTTGTGCTATTGTAGTACTATTGTACTGATAATTAAAATACATACAACATTTGAAAAGTTTGACATTCGACAGTCAATGCATGACTATACATATTGTATAAATTGTTATAATTTAAATTCAATTTTGTTTACCTTAATCTGGGGTATCCTGCATCACCTTTAGATTTAGCATACATGTTTAGCTTTAGTAAGTTCTAGCAACAAAGTAAACACAAAATTATGCCTTGAAGTTTAATCTTCTCATGTTATTTTATAAAAAATGCTCTAGATTATTCAACAATATGAATGCAATTTTAAATTTTTGAAACATTTCAACGATTACTGGAAATTGACACACGTGTTTTTCTTATTTCTGCAGATTGTAGAGCATCTTCCCGCAAATATAAGCAACTAATTTATCTCGCATATTTCATTGGCATTGAAATACTCTAAATGTTTTGCCAGTTTTGACTTTTGACGTATTGTACAACTTTCCCCCCCTTACCGGTAAAGTAAGCTTTGCAGGCGGTGGCATTTGGATTGTGCTCACATCGAAGGGTTCTGAGCGGACCCATAGTTTCACGTTGACCATTTTATAAGGTCAAAAAGTGACCAAAAAAACAAACCAAAACAACCGAATGTTTTGCTAACCTTCGCCCGCCATTTTGTGGCGGAATTTTAATGAACTGAGAAGACTGGTGTCTGGCGTGACGTCTTTAGGGGAACAAACTTGGGGAACAAAAACCCTCGGAGTTTCGTACCTTTAATATTTAATATAGTATATAAGTGTATATTATAGGAAGATTTAAGATAAAACTGAAGTGTATTGAAAATGTAATGTACTTATGTACACTGATGTAATGACTGAGTATACTGTACAAAGGCCTCCAAATAGCTTTTTTTTGGTCCATTTGAACGACTACAAAAAGTTTCATTGATGTAGAAACCACTAGTTTGAAGAATGAGGTAGCAAGTCTGTTCAAAAATGATAAAAATGCATTTTAATATTTTACAGTAAGTATTTTTGCTATACGATATTAACCCCTGGGGGAAATTACCCCTATGTCTGACGTCGCTATGACAACAGAAACGCCATCTTTGATATTCAATCTGAACAACCAAATTTACACAAACTTCGTTGCTGTTGTACTAGCATTTTATTTTCTAAATTCAGTTGTTTTCGCAACAAACAATGGCAGTCAATCTCGAAGATTATTTCAGGACGATATTTGAGGACAAACTTCTGGTGTAAGTAGAAATTTCCGCGCGATTTTTCAACGTTCTAATCAGATTTGTCGATTTATTTTGGTTTTAAAAGCTTAACTGTATCTGTATGTCTGTATCTATTAAACTTAACTGTATCTGTATTTATTATCTCAACTGTATCACTGTTTGTTGTGTCATTAGGAAAATGCCAGAGCGGGAGGATGACCAACTCACTCCCGCCACAAGATTGCTGGAAAAACGCAGAGAGATGTCCGAAGTTGAGCAAGCTTTGACGGCACAAAAAGAGGTTTGCGCACTTTTCCCTATGGGGTATTATTAAAACGGGCCACGGATACGAATAGACTTTGCTTTCTGTACTCTGTAGGGCTTTAAAGGTCCGTTTAAACTTGCTATTTTTGCTGTGATTTTTGGGTTTTGAATATTCTGAGTATTATCAGAGTATACTGTATAGGGCCATTCAGGGGTGCACATTTAATAGATTTTATGGGGGGTTTGGACGGATCCGGGACCAACTTTTGATTCGGGAAAGATCCGGGACCGACTGTTGACCGGCCATTCCATGTAATATCCACACCACCCCCTCCCCTATGGATGAGGTCAGTAAAATATTAATCCCTAAAAAAAAGATCAAAGTGCCAACACAAAATCCCCCTCAGAAATTTGTAAATTTTCCCCTTACCCCTCAAAGGATGCCGACAGGCTTTAAACCCCTCAGAAATATGACTTTGGGGTTACCCTTCAGAAAAATTCATCAATAGGAGGGGGTGTGGACATTTTAAATGGAATGGCCCATGTAGCCCAGTGAGCTCTATATAATATCTGGAGCAAAAACTTCAGTCATTTGGCCTACATGAGAAGAGTGAAGTGAAGATGAGAAGAGTGAAGAGTGCAGTCATTGCCGTCCAATAGCTCTGAGGTTGTAAACAGTTTTTATTGTTCTAACAGACTGTGTTGCTAACCAAGTTTATGTAGTGTTATTCTTTATTATTATATAAAGTATAGTGCTTTATAGAGATTTCAAACACTCATTAATAATTCATAAGCTTATTGGCAAATCATGTCAACCATAATATGTCACGTGCAGTGGCTTTAAACCTCAGATAAAACACTCCTAATTAGTATTCTTTATATAAAGAATACTAATAAGGCAGTATCTATTGTAGTCGTGTCCTCATTAGTATTCTTTATATAAAGAATACTAATAAAGCAGTACTTATATCTATTGAATTTGTAGTCGTATTTGAAGCCATTTAATAAACTCGCAGGTCGTGTTTTATTAGGTCTAAAGCCACTCGCGCTGCGCGCTCGTGTCTTTAAACCTAATAAAACCCTCCTGCTCGTTTATTAAACAGTACTTCAAGCACTGATACCTGAGTGATAATCTCACATGTGAGATTATTCATGATAATCTCACATGTGAAAATTATCGCTTTTCAATTATCGCTTTTCTGTAAAAATTATCGCTTTTCACAGACTGTCCTTTATATAATAAACAGAAAAATACATGGGTGCTTGGAAATACCAGATTTATTTCTCGTGTTGAACATGATATCTCACTCGTTCGCTGCGCTCACTCGTGATATATCATGTTCAACACACGAAATAAATCTGGTATTTCCGCGCACCCATGTATTATTCTCTATTTAAATTGATGTGAAAATAGGAAACTTCGGCTCACTCCTCCCAAGACAGAGAAAATTGAAGGAGCTATTGGATGTCAGTTTCATGCAGTCCCTTTCTATTGTTTTTGTCTGCGTGCAGGCCTCGAAATAAGTGCCGGTCACTGACCGGTAAAATTTCACAGTTTGACCGGCAAATATCGTCGCCTGCGGACATGCGTGACCAGTAAATTTTTTAATAAAAAAGTACGTTCAAACTACGGTGTAGGCTAATAAGGGCTGCGAAGTGACACATTTTGTCATACAGATATGATATACCGCATACATTGTGCCTATAAGGGCTGTTTTCCAGTCATACGTTTTTGACACATGCGACGGAAAAGTTCAAATCTTTTAAAATTTCATATAAGTGCAAATAACCTTAACAAGTACACATTAAATCATACACAAAACTGATTGCTGTCCTTTTATAAATTTAGTTATTTCATAAGCAGGATGTAAAGCGATTTCAACTTTTACGTGCGTACACGCACGTATGAAAAACGCGTAACTGGAATGCAGCCTAAAAGCATGCTCGCAACTCAAACTACAGTTGTCATTTGCGACTTAATATATTAATTTGGTAGTAAACAATGTTAATGTTATTAGTAATGATTACTACTACAGGGTGTCCCAAAAAAACCCGAAAACTATTGAAATCACTTATTGTTAAAATTGAATTCCCTACCAAAAAGCTGAACGTAATGATGCGTAAAATATTGACAAGGTGCATGTATTAAAATTTAGTTAAGACATCTCCTTGTAAAGTGCGCGATTTTCTGTTGTTGGGAATTTAAAGCAGCTTCTTAAATAGTTTCTTTATGCATAAAATTTACTTGTGTCAATCATTTAATTGCACTCGTGGGAACCAACAGAGTGCTAAGGCATTCAAATTCTAACAATTAAATTGTTATTGGTGATTTCAATAGTTTTCGGGTTTTTTGGGACACCCTGTACAGCTTTGATAAACGCCATACTTCTACTTTGTATATACAAATACAATTAAAATGCACAATTGTTTCTGAAGTTACGAGTCACGCGAAAGATGAGGGGAAAAAAGAAGATAAGGAGTGACAATGACCGGCATAAATTCCGTTGTGACCGGTAAATTTAGTGATCCACCGGTCATAATGACCGGTATAACGTCCAGATTTTGGACTTGAGTTCTCGTTCCAGGTATATAAGGAGCTCATGCACTGATGTAGCCTCATCTGATCCTCCTGAACATCACATCCATCCAAGAAAATCGCAGCAAAAGTTGCAAGTTGTAAACTTTCTTTCCGTCCGTGTGCACTTATCGCGCCGTAATTTTCCCGTCCGCAAGTCCTCCCCCAAAAAACCATCTGCTACACAGCTAGGCTATTAGTAGCTATAGGGCACATCTGGGCGCATTGCCACTTAAAGGGTTAATATATGAGATCCCAAAATTAATACTTGTTCTTAAAAGTTCCAGGAACAGTTAATAGTTAAAGGCCCAGAAATTTTACACTTTACCATCAAAAACATATTATAAAATCACTGAGTAGATTAGATACAGACATCCAACACCAAAACTTTGTAACTTCTGCCACACCATGATTCGCTATCGCAATGATGTCACCATTTTCCTGGCCAGTGTGCTTAATTTTAATTTCATTTAATTTATTAGCTTTGCCTTGTAAATAACTATAATACAATGGACCATTTGCATTATAGACTAAATTTTGATCTAGACAAAAATTTCATCACAGCTTGAAAGAGCATCACAAAATTAGTAATATTCCAAAGTTTCGTTGCGAAATGTTGTAAAATGCGGATAATATAGCCTTGCGAAATTTGCAATTTTCAGTCATTTTGTATTACAAACGGGAAATTGATGCCCCAACACCCGATTGGGCTGTCAATTTCCCGTGCGTAATACAATATGACTGAAAAACGGCAAACTTCGCATGGCTATATTATCCGCATTTTACAACATTTCGCAACGAAACTTTGGAATATTACTAATTTTGTGAAATGATGCTCTTTCAAGCTGTGATGAAATTTTTGTCTAGATCAAAATTTAGTCTATAATGCAAATGTCCATTAATGGCAGGGAGTCCGTAACAGCGCTAATAGCCAATTACTACGGCCCCGTAAAACTAACACTAATATTACAAATTTAACAAATACAATAATCAACTAATAACAAACAACATATGAAAATAAGAACAATACGTCTTCTACATGCAAGTGAGAAGGATCAATCAATGCTTACATGTATGAGAGGCATTAACCTCCTGAAAATATTTGAAATGGCAGATGTTCAGGGGGGTGAAGCTTCTCATAAGCACACTGGTTAGGAACATGACAAGTGCATTTTGATGACGAATCATTGAAAATCATGTCAGCCTTGTGTAGTGTCAATCTATTCTGTGCCAGTGTGCTTACAACAGACAATTTATTAATCATAAAACTTTAAGGAATTTCAAATGAAAATGGAAAGTTTACAACAAAGAAGAGAAGAGCTAGAAAGGAAGGAATATCAACTCAAAGAATCTCTGTTAAAATTTGATAAATTTCTAAAGGTATTGAAAAACTGATATAATTAAAATGATATTTTCAAGACATTAATAAATTCTTATACTGATTAATAAATTACTGATAGGAAAATGATTCAAAAAGGGCAAGAGCTCTGAAAAAAGCATCTGAAGAACGTGATATGAAGAGAGGAAAGGACAGAGAAATAAACAGGTAACAGTGGAGGGGGTGCAACATCCTTGATCCACTTTTTAGAAAACTTGTATGTAGGATTATGTACTAGGGAAAACGTGACTTGTCGGTATTTACTGATTGGAAATGGTCGGTAAATTGATCAGTAAGATTGAGTTGGTCTGTAAAGTGAAGAAGCTGTAGATAAACACATCTCCTCCCCCTCCCCCCGCGCGGCCGCCCCCCACTTAATCGGAATGATCTCTGCCTGAGACTTAAATTTCCAGAATTTTGGGGATCTACATTTTTTGCAGAAACAGTTTAGAATGAAAATATTCAGATAGCCTGCAGTAGGAAAGTTGTTTTTAATCGACGTGACTACTTCAGGATTTATCTTGCTTGCCTTATTAGTACGTACCTTGCATATTGCTTAGTTGCCATACATATTGCTTGTTATATGACAACACATCTTAAAGAGCATAATCCACGTAATTAGGTAGAAAGGACATTTCGACCTATACTATTGTATTGTCTGAATCTTTCGCAGAACATTTTGAGCCCTAATTCCAGACCCAGGTTCCCAGAAAGAAAAAATGTTGCACCTCCGTCCAGATTTTTAAAGACTTATTAATTTGAGCACGGAGTGTTTTAAAATCATGTCTAGCGTATATTTTATATATAGTGTAGCTTCTCAAACAATACATATAAGTATTTACACAGAAAATGAACGCGAAAATTTATGGCAGACTTAATTTTATGGACATGATATATCATTACTAATTTGCTGGTATCAGGACCAGGGCTACTGATGACATTAACAACACAAAGCTCTCTTTTAAAGATACACGCTTCCAGAAAGTACGCCCCCTTGGCGAGCCTCGCTTTAGTGATCGAGACGTTGGGCTCAGGGCCGTAACTAGACGCGATAATTGGGTGTGGTGGGGGGTGAATATTCATATTCTCGTGTTTTGCCCGACGGATTTCTTTTGAAAGCGATTGTTTTTACGGTATATGAACATGATTCTATGAATATCCCGTTATCGCGCGTCTAGTTACGGCCCTGGTTGGGCTTTAACTAACGTCACTTGTACAAAAACAAGACTCCATGGCCGAGATTGTATTCAGAAACATCTTTCATACACCTACTACACTTTGAATGCACAGAAACTCTAAACTAAGGTTGTATAAAAAATGAGACCTTTAGTGGCTTCACTGGCTTTACAAAAAACAAGCTACATATTGTTGGAGTTTGAATGCATAGCACTATGCCAAATCCACGAGTGCGAAAAACAAAACAGGGGCAGGTTGTTCAAAGCCTGATTACCGCTAACCCTGCATGGGTTAAATTTTAACCTGCTGTTTTTGTTTGTGTATTTCTGCACGATTCATCTTCGTTTCAAAACTTTAGAAAATAAAACCTCTTATTGAACCAGAAAAGATTTCAGGAAAAACATATTCGACTTTGTTCGATGAGCTGTTGGAAAATTTAATTTGTAGATTTGTGTTAACCCTTGCGGGTTCGGCTAACCAGCTTTGAACAACCGCCTCCAGGCCCAGATGTGAACTTTATGCATGACGAAGTTATTTAAAACGTTAACTTGGTTTCGTCTAGTATAAACATTATGTGCATGCTGATTAATTTAGCACAGCGCGTAAAACACTCTGTAAATACTCGTTGCTCTGTGCCTGTGGTCAGTTGAACCTATTCGAACTGATATGACTAAATAGTAATTTGACAATTTTTTGTGTAATTACAGTATGCTCCTTCATACGATTAGCGAAGCTATTTTAAATTCGCATGCAGGAGCATAAACTCTTGTGCTTACCTGCAGTTTTTATCACCTCGTATAAAGAGTTTTTCGAATATTTTTCTGACTTGCGCAGGTTGAGAGACGACACAGGAAGTTTGGCAAAAGTACGAGATAAAATGCAGAAAAAATTGGCGAAGTACGTTGCGTTCCAGCAATATCTGGATAAAGTGTTGGAAAAGGCGGAAGAGGTACTGTGTTGAGATTATCTAGTTTTCTTTACCGATTTATTCTATTCCGTATTGCGCACTTTTACTGCGCATATCTAATAACAAATTCTAGCTAATATATGTAGTCGTTCCAACTGCAGTGTAAAGTGATAAAGAAAGAGTAAGGGCAAAGAGAAAAACACTCTGCATTGATTAGGCGTGCTTCAGCAAGTATACCTTCAAAAATGACAAATTCTGGCTAGGGCTCCTGCATGTGCAACTAACACTAAACCACACCATGTTGCATGTTTAACCCTTGCATCTCTTTAAGAAGGTCCGTGACCCTGCTTTTTTATTTTTTATTTCTACAACTTATTACATTTTACATTTTTCGCGCATGCTTCCCAAAATAACATGTTTGAGAAGATGGGAAAAGACATCTTTGCACCACGACAATGCACGTCAATGGTTTTCGATTCGCTAAAATACCATGTTTTCTTGTATATATCACTATAGATAGCCATTTTAGTAGGATCCTTATTAACAAAAATCAATAACGGTTGAGCAATTGCGATTGTTCCCACTCTTCTCCGCAGAGTCATATAGGATTGTAGGGATAATGTACGGATAGTAGAGGACATTTAGTGGTGCGCGACGGGGGTGAGACCTAGCGCGTTTTGACTAACAATTACGTAATTTGTTTCCCAAGTAATATTACGTAATTTTACTAAAAATTCGTAAGTCTCTGCGGAGGAGAGTGGATTGTTCCTGTAACTCGTAGGGGTCAAGATGGCGCCATATATGGGGGAAAAGGTGGCATGTTGCGCTTATCATATCTTCGTAACAAGTTCGGTGACCCCAACTTTTTTTCTGTTTTTACTATGAGCATATCATAAACTTCATCCCTGGGAAGTTTCAGCAAATTCTCATTTCCAGAACAATTACTGATGAATCACCTTAAGGAATTAAGCTAATTAAAAATATCTTTCAGTTCCAAGAGATACGAGAAATTATCGCACGTTACGACACGCTGACGGCAACTCATCAGGATTTATTTGAACGAGAGGCAAAAAATCAGGAGAAATACGAACAGGAGAAAGCAAGACTCATGAAGTTCACTGAAGTAATGAAACAGTTTAGTTTAAAATCTTTGCTAAATTTTGAAATTTATTTCAACTAAAACATTTGTATTAATTGCTACTTTTCTTTTTTCTTCATGTAGGAAAAAAATAACGAAGTACTTAATTACAACAATCAGGTAAGAAATTATAACCGGCACTAAGAACAGCAATATACTAAATACTTCATGCAATAGGGAAGAACGAGTTAAAATGGCATGGAAACAAATATCAAGATTTTGTTGCCATCCAGGGGCGTAGGAACCGGGGGGGGGGGGCTTTCCAAAGTGCCCTTTTTCCGGGAGCGAAGTGCCCTTTACCTCCGTGAAAAATATCGTTCCGATTGCATTTTTTTTTTTGCCCAAAGGCCTTTGATTTATGATTGCATTTGTTTTTGTATTTTTGTGTCCTGAAAAATTTTGTTATTTAATAAAAGCTGTCAGTATGCCCGGAAAATTTTTTTAATTTTCGTGAAAAAATATGATATGTCCGGAAAAATTTTTGGTATGTCCGGAAAATTTTTTTCATTTTCGGGAAAAAATGTTTGGAAAAAATGTTTGGTGTGTACGAAAAAATTTTTGAGACCTCCCCCTCCCCCCCCCCCACACCGTCGCCAACATTTAAGAGAAAAAAATTTTAGGTGCCCTTTTTCATTCGAAAAGTGCCCCTCAAAGCCTGCCCCCCCCCCCAACTTTTAGATGCTTCCTATGCCCCTGTTGCCATCTCATGCACTCGATTGAATAATAGTTTCATGAAGGGTATTGTAGATGGAACACAGCGTGCGATAATTCAAGATTTTAGTCGTACCTGACTGGTACTCCCATGATTATATAATGTCGCGTACTTGAGCTGGTACACACTTAGACTCAAGGTTTACTTAGTCGTTAAAATGAAGTACATAAAGTACAGGTGGTTTCTGAAAGGTAACCATTCAGTAACCGAAAACCACGAGTTAGAACAAGAAGGACGACAACTGCACACACAAACACTAGAATCGACTCATTCCTTTGGCTTAGTCCCATCAGTCCAATAATTTTTCATGCCAAGACATGTCAGACGTGCCCATATATACCGGTTTAATTACGGTTTGAATACATGCATTGAGTTTGGTGAGGTCATATGGTACCAGCAAAATGAAAATACGCAAATGGAAAGAGTTCCGCGTACCTACGTGGTACGTGGCTGAAAACAAAGACGCACCAAACCGTAATATTGGCGTAAGTACGCGAATTACCTCACCCTGAGGAACAGCAGCATGTACATGAACTTGTGGTTAGAGCTCGACAACTGGCCTCTGTTGCTTAGTTGGTCCAAAGATTTGAAATAAATGGACATGCAGAACATAAACCAAAACAGCAGTTTAAATTTTAACCCATGGTTAACGCTAAGCGGCCCCTGTATTTCAGTTGGGTTTTTTTATGTACGGACTTCGACCGGAAGTCAATCCAGCCGTTACAGTACATATATGACGAGCTGATGACGACAGCCGTTCTTGTTTCGTTCTCGCTTGTTCTGTCCTCGTTTTATATACGGTATATACAATTGACTTTTTTGTTTGTCTGTTTAGCTTGCGCAACTTCAAACAGAACTGGAAAGAACACAAAGTATAGCGGTGAAATGGTACGTGTAGTATTATTATAATACTCTGTATTTTTGGGCACGGCTGGATTCGAGTTGCTTTGTACCGAACGAGTTGATTGTTTCAAATCTCTCTTGTCTGTTCATTGTAGGGAATCTCAGTGGACGCATATCAAGAACACGGCAGCAACAAAGACTTTGTTGCTGGGAAGAATAAAAATGTATGCACATACGTCCGTAGTTTTCCTTTCCAAGTTTTATTTGCTCGTGTGCACGGCTCGTCTAGTCTGTGCGGGGCTTAATAAATTTGTTTCAAGCTCACTAGAATCTAAATGTTTGTTGTTTTTCTAGGGCAACGCATAATCTCTTTATGTTGGTCAATGGACAGTTAAAGACGACAACAGTTATCGAAAATACGGAAAGGCAGTTAGAAAAAGTAAATGCACAAAATCTGCCTTAATAGACTATAATTACTGTTTATTACAGTTTTTGCCCAATTGCCTCGTTTCATGTATGCTTGCCTGCTTTAGCAAGGACATAAAAGCATTGGTCAAACGCCCTCGGATAGGATGTTTTAGATATCTTTCTATGTGGAATGCTCGAACGGTAGATGCGGTGCGAAAGGATATACAAGTATACCTGAAAAATATAAGTATAACCTCGACTCTTCGAACTAGAGCAGAAGGTGTCGGCTATACTATACGTACGTAAAATCTCAGTCATAACTTAGTCAACAAGATGTGTTCGCAACGGCTTGTAGCAAGCTTGTCAACAAGTTGTAACAATGCTGTTATTTTATCAAGTTGCTACAAGGTTGTCACTCCCAACTTGTTGACAAATTGGTGAATTGCAGGACGATAACAAGTTGTTGGAACAATTTGTAACAAGTCTGTTGTCTGTGTTGAGCTGAACAACTTTGTAGCAAGTTGTCGACAAGCCGTTGACAACTTGTCAACAACCTGGAACAAGCAGTGCGAACACATCCTGTTGACAAGTTGTTGGAACAGCAATTGCTATACAAGTCTGCTGCAGGTTTGTTACAACTTGTGCCGAGTTGTGCGTTTTTACGTGCATGTGTAGCTGGGTTCCAGTCACGTGATACGTCTAGCGCCTGGTGGTCAACTCCAAATGGTAAGACATTTACCGGATCGAGTTAAATATTCATTACAAGTATTGATCCCGTGCCTGGTATCAAATATATGCAATTTAACGAAATTTACTTGCTTCCACAAGGCATAAAGCGGCAATATATGTAATGTTGACCACCAAGCTTTCCCCCTATGTATATAATGCTTGAGTGAAACCATGGATAATAAAATAAATGGATAGGACTCTAGCTGACGTAAGCAAAAACAACCTAGTTGCAATCTGTGACGTCACGTATTGCAAAGTTCTCGGCATTTTTGTTGTTTCGCTATACTTTCCGCTTTAAAAGAGTAATATTGAAGCATGTACTGGTCTAATTGTTTTAAAAACATGCCTAAGCCACGACAAAGTATTCAAGGTAAATGTTTTTCGTCTTTGTTTTGTATTTTTTTACATTTGTAGCTACGAAATTGGCGTCCCCAATTTTAACGAAATTTGGGAATCATGCCTTTTTCACTGTTTAGTGCTTGAAATATTTGCTAAAATTGACTGGGAATACTTAGAGATTTCATCGTAGAATGGCGTAGTTATATTCATTTGCTCTTTGACTAAAATGTTTAGCTGTATTAGGTCACGTCAGCTAGTATCCTATCCATTTATTTTATTATCCATGGTGAAACCCACCAATAGACAGAACTATCTTCTCGACGAACGCCTTGGCTCAAAACGTCGACATTTTGCTTATATTTGGTAGTTCAACTACAACTTCCGTTAGTTGTATATCCTACTACCTACACTGGGTCTGGACCCCAAGTTTGAGACATCTTTTCATGTAGTTCAGACACAGACCTTGGCAGTTTAATGTAAAGGAATTTTTTTTTATGTAGTTCAGACAAAAATCACGGCAACTTATTAATTCATCCTCGCTTAATTTTTTTTATTTTCTCTTTAGATTCAGACGTTCATTCAAGATTTATCGCAAATTACTCAAGAAATCAAGAAAGGCGAAACCGCGGCGACCACTTCGATGACGACGTCGTAGACTTTACATGTGGTTAGAAACTGCGCAAGCATGTTGATAATTTGCATGTAAATAAACAAATTTAGTATTTTATAAAGTAAATAAAAATTATAAACTTAAGTTTGGTTCGCTTTATTCTGTCTGGCGACTACAAAGATTTGATCTCAGGAAACAAGGCAAAGTGCAATGATTCTATCATGTAGCTATAATCTTTTAAAAATTAGCTCAGTCACTAAAGGCCATGTTATACGGTGCAATTTTCCTTGCAACTTGCAATGCAATTCTACTCTTGAGAGATGTTAATTAGTGAAATCAGTGAAGAATTTTCGATATGTTGAGAAAACATCAGCGGAGTGTAATGAAGACTCGTATTTGGCAATTTTACATCTCTCAAGAGTAGAATTGCATTGCAAGTTGCAAGAAAATTGCACCGTGTAACATGGCCTTAACTATTGTTTCAGTTTACGAAAAAACGAAAGGCATAGAAAAAATATTCTGTTTCTGGTCAGTTTGTCTGTCCAAAATTGACGCGCACACACGGCTTTTCTTTTTCATTTTTTTTTCAAGGCAACGCTTTTTGCAGAAATTGCGAGTACATCTTCAGTCTAGTTTCTAAAAGCACATATAATACATTGATTTTTCATGCTTATACACTGTCTGTCACCGAGTTGACATGAAATAAAATGAGGACTACTATAGAATAATATTTTCAGGTGTAGAAAACAATAGAAATATATCAAATACGAAATATCACAAGAACAGTGCTTTATTCTCTCACAAAAAAAAACAACATGCACTACGTTTCGAGCTTAAAGAACATTGGCAATAAAAAATTAGTTTGTCTCATTCAAAAGAACTCTTAAAATTATATATTAAATTCTATTACCGATTTGTCATATCTTGCTTAGTTCTCGAAATATTTAGAACGAAATTAATGAGCTTTCCGCCATCTTGGAAAAATGCTTTACCTCATTAACTATGGTTTTGATGACGTCAGGAGTTGGGTTAACCATATAAAACTACTCTAAAATGACCGAGCAACAGTCCAAAATTGTTTGAAATTTTATTCATTGTTTGAAGTTTTTAATCATTTCTAAATTTCAGACAGCAACAGAAACGAAGTTTTGGACTCATATTGATCACTTACTCTCAAGATAAAAAACTTAGTGTGACCCCTCTCTTGACGTAACATGCATATCCTCAATAATCCAAGATGGCGAACAGCTCAATTTTTTCAATCGAAATATTTTGAAAACTAAGCAATATATAAACAATCTGTAATAGAGTTTAATATATAGTTTTATAGGAGTTGTTTCAAATCAGTGAACTAAACTAATTTTTTATTGCCAATGTCCTTTAAGCGAGCGACGTTTTTGTCAACACGGACATCACACGAAAATTGGTAGAACTAATTTTGGCGGCATTTTGCATCATAGCGCTCGTGCAAGGAAGCAAAAAACTTTAAAAATCTTATGTTTTGTCATATGCATGTGTCGTTGAAGATTACCACAAGCTGACACATGCAAACACAGCTCTCGGCGATCTGATGTCCGTGTTTACCAAACTCCATTTTCCACTAGGCGAATTTGTTCGCGCAAGCCGTAAAAGAAGTAGGAACTGATCCAACTCTTTCGCGGCGAAATTTTTCGCCCAGCAATCACATTGCCAATATTTGTTTTTCGCTTCGCGCGAACAAATTCGCCCAGTGGAAAACGGGCTTAAAACGTCGCTTGTGCTCTCTATTATGTATTCACAAACATGTGACATATTATAAGTTGATAAGACCATGATAAGTTGAGATTATGAGCCGGTTTTCATAAAAAAAGTTGACGCGCATAGTCAAGATAACGCGCGCGCTGACCAGAAAAAGAATATTTTTTGGCCTAAGTATAAAAAAAAACTTGTTTAGACTTAAGGAATCGTTGACCGTTAGTAATATGTGAGCCAGCTTTTGGGATTAGTGACCAATATCTTATCTATGTCCGTCTGAGAAATACCTTTCAACCGCATTTTCGGTACGGCGTAATCCAGGATGTGTGCGTACCCATGCCCGCCATACTTGGTCAGTTGATAACATGTGTGGACGTCATGTGCTACCAGTATTCTGTCTCCAAAACCTTGTGATATCAAGTAGCCAATCATATCGATTCTCTGAGCGTCATTTTGCATGTCAATGCTCGGCATTTCTTGAAAGTAGGAAATCTCAGAACCAAAGAGGTCATACTCAAGAAATACACCTGCAAAATCAAACATTTCAAACTTAAAGGTGCAGTTCAGTTGTCTAGTTTCATCCCCCCCCCCCCGGGATCTAAACAGCCACAATATACATATTCATACCTGTCTCAGCTAACTCCAGGAGGGTCTCTTTCTTTCCAATTGTTCGTCCGAGGTGAGCAATTACGGTGTGTTTAGCATCCCCGCCAGCTTCCTCAAAAATACGCAAGTCTTCAAACGGGGCGATGGGGTCTCGTCCCGGGTGGATCATAACGGGGGTCTTGGTTTGAGATTGCGCAAGCGCAGCTGCGCGGAGACTACGGTTTTCGACCTCAGCTAGTGGCCAAGAACATCCGACTTCACCTATGATACCAGGCTTTACTTTTGTACCATCAATACCGTTATTGATGTCGTCTAGAATGGTCTGAAATATTGAAGGAAGATAAATGAGCAATATATAAATGCTGGACTGTTAGTAGTACCAGAACAGTTTATATGTGAAAGCTCCCAGACTTTGGAACATTCTTCCTTCCCGGCCACATACGTACATGATACCTCAAGAACTTTAGTTCGTTTCAAGTCCTCATTTAACTACTACTTCGACCTTCTAGAACATATTCACAACCCGGACAACCCAAGAACATCCCAGTCAGAGTGCACGAAACGCCACTCCACTCGTCCTCTCGCTAGTTTTTCAGTAAAAACATGTTGTTGATAGTTAGCCAAAGTCAATAGATATGTAAATATATTGTTAGCATTTGTTCGGGACCCGTTATTGGAAATTATCTCTGTGGTCAGTCCCTGCTTGTACTGTACTGTACTGTACTGTACTGTACTGTACTGTACTGTACTGTACTGTACTGTACTGTACTGTACTGTACTCCACTCCACTCCACTCCACTCCACTCCACTCCACTCCACTCCACTCCACTCCACTCCACTCCACTCCACTCCACTCTACTCCACTCTACTCTACTCTACTCTACTCTACTCCACTCCACTCTATGTACAATATGTAATGGTTTAGTGGTATTGTTTGTGCCTGTGGCAAATCATTAAAATAGAATAAAATAAATATCGAATGGTCTTCCTAGGGAAATGGTCTTATCTGAAACATTATATCCTTTTAAAACCGAACTCAAAAATTACCTAAAGTAATAACATTCCAAGGGTTAGGCTATATTCATGGGCGTAAGGGACAGGGGAGCGGGGATCGGAGACAAGGGAGCAGGGGGACAACTGCGCCGCGTTAATAAATAAATGTTACTTGCGGAAGCGAGGATAACTTTCCTGGGAAGGGAGCAAACTGATACTCAGTGTTTTCACTATACGGATGACTTATCTGCTTTTATCCAAAAGGATAAAACGCAGATATGATTTATAAAGGCATGGGAAGTTTTTTAACCATATCCATATTTTATAATATCTTATATGTATGTCAATATGTATATCATATCCATATGTAATATCATATGCAGTTGTAATAATACATAACAACAACAGAGGCATCCATCACGAATGAGGACGATAAAGTCATTGCTACCATTCCATACGTCAAAGGCACATCAGAAAGAATTGCACGGATTTTGAGACCCCACAACATTACAGTCGCCCACAAACCTTCAACGACGCTGCGGGATGTCCTTACGAAGATAAAAGATCCATCACCTGTTATATCACGAACAGGAGCAGTTTACAAAATACCGTGCGCAGAATGCCCTGCAAGCTATGTCGGAGAAACTGGGAGAACTCTGGAATGCAGAATTAAAGAACACAAGCGCAGCGTAGCAAATAAAGATACAAGCAACAAAATAGCGGTTCATCATTTGTCAACAAAACATCGAATGAATTGGGAAGGAGCTACTTGCTCAGTTAGAATTTGCTACTAACGTTAACGAAAGAATGTTTCTCGAGAGCTGGCATACCAAGAGCGAAAACAACAGCATTAACATTTGCCGCGATATGCCAGGCGCGTACTATAGTCTAATAGCGAGCTTAAGCATGTAGGACGGCAACACGACGACGACGGCCAAAACAAATTCCTTCAATAAATGATAGTAAAGAAAACTTGTCGTATATTATAATTCGTATGAATTTAATATAGTATAAGAAGCTGAAAACATTGGTTTTATGTTTGGGAAGAGTTCTACTGACCGAATTTTAAGTTGCACATGTTACGGCTTGAAATGTAGGCGTTGTATAAAATACGTGAAAATCTGTGATTTACCGTTGTAAACAGAACGACGACCACGTCTGAAACTCCCCTGGGACTTTAATTATTTATTTCTTTTCATTGACTCATTGTATTGGTTGCCGTCGTCGTCGTGTTGCCGTCCTCACATGCTTAAGCTCCCTAATAGCTAGTGAACGTGCACGCGCAGACCGATTTGAACGCAGGCGTCAGTAATCTCGCAAGGTTGCATCTGACGCAAGATAGTAACGGAAAACTTTTAATAGATTCATAGTCTTTGATAATGGTTTCCGTTTAGGAAACCGAAACGTTAGACAAATTAAAGTATTTTACCTTTTTGTTAATCTGGAAGAACAAATAAAACATAACATATGTAATATCTTAACTACTTATAAGTGCTGTAATTCTTTTTAAACACACGGCCCTTTGAAAATCACACAAATGAAAGGCTACCGTGTTTAAATATCTTTAAATAATAATAATAATCCGTCCGCCCGTCCGTATCCGCGTTTTAAAATCAAGTACAGTTTGTAGGGCTGGAGAGCCGCATATATATAATTTATAAATACTGAATTTTAATACCAATTAAAAAGCTTGACCGAATGACCACCCAGTAGATAGCACTATCCGTGCTTTGTGTAAAACCTGAGTCAGACTAATACCTTGGACAATTCCTCAACTGATGCATTCTTTACGCTATCCGTTTGAGTTCTCTCCACATAAAACCCAGTTCCACAGACAACATTCAGTCCACTCAACTTCGCCATCTCTATCATGGCCGCCACATCACGGTTGATTCCAATACACGTATTTTCCACTATGGTACACCCTCCTGCTTGCTTGAGCAACTTTAAATCCGACAAAACAGCATCCTTCTCTTTTGCGAGATTTAGGTTAGCCACACAGCTGTATGGATTGTGTCGAAGCCAGTTAAGGTTGTCTAGGGTGATTGGTTCGTTAATTTTGCTCTTGTCGGAGTCTTTGCTTGGCGGCATGGCACAATTGGAGTAGTCAATGGTTAGGTGTTCGTGTGTGAATGTTATGCCCAAATCTTCGGCGTTCACTGGGCCAAGGACGGTTTCAATTTGAGTTTTCGCCATCTTGTTTGATTAAGCAAGATGTCTGTTGTTTCGTTTGCTCGCACGTGTGCAACGGGGCAGATAAGTTATTCAAGTTCTTTGAATGCAAATAAAGATCATAAATGATCATGAAAGATTCGGTGCATGAATAAGTTTTGCATAAGTATTAATGAACGCCAGAACGCTCTAGCTAATTAATACTGACAGACATTCATGGAGCATGGCCAAGTATCCGTGTTAGAAAAGTGCCTGGGGTTTATTAGAAGTTTTCTAAAAGAAAATGTATTGTGTATACTGACAATCAGATTGGAAACTGATTGTATACGTATGAAGGCGTTCGAGTGACTGCCGAGTTAAAACGATTGACTTGATGTGATCATGATCTTTCAAAACATGGTCTGGAAACTCCGCTAAAGTCTTTGTTCTATCTTTTTGTTCGCGTTTATACAGGGTGTATAAAAAAAAGGTAATCGAACTTCAGCGCTCTATTATACGTGAATCACTCGGCGTATGAACAATTGGTTTTCATATTCGAAAAGATCAGGCTTTTAGCTATTGAATGACATGCTTTTCATATCAAGTGGAGAAAAAATAAGCATGCACGAGGCCGATCAAAAATATTAGTCAAAATCGCATATTTTCACCTCTGTGCCTAATTAAAACAATGCATAACAAAAGAAAAAGCAATTAATCACGAACGTGTCGTAGCTTAGCTAAGATTTATTCCTACTTAATAATTAATTATGAATATGTGCGTAGTTTAATAAGTGAAATTCATCAACTTAAGTACCAAAGGGGGTTCATTTTCAATGGTTTTAGACCCAACTCTCAACGGTGAAAATATGCGATTCTGACTAACATTTTTTATCGGATTCGTATTTGCTCATTTTTTATCCATTTGGCATGAAGAAGATATCATTCAACAGCTAAAACTATGATCTTTCCGAATGTGAAAAAATCTCGTTCATAGGCAGAGTAATTAAGATACAATAGCGCGCTGAAGTTCGATTACCTTTTTTAATACACCCTGCAGTATGCAGTTTTGTGCGGGGTGCACGGTCAATGAACACATTGTATTTCAGTGTAATGAACGAATCATCCAATAGCAACGTTTCGGTACGTTCAGTCATTCAACCATGCTATTTAAATATTAATAAACCTAAAATAAAGGATGTGCACGGTGTAAGGTACGGCTCAACATAAACCGCTCCCAGCTCATTATAACCACTTTGAAGTTTACTGAGTTTCCAGACCATGTCTCGAAAGACTATGATGTGATGAGGACGAAAACGGCGGGATTTTCAAAACAATGGAAAGATAATAAAGCATTCCGATCACTGGACAATAGCTTGGTGATGGCTCGGAGAGCAGAGACTGGGATTTTCCAAACAATTGGGGGAGAGGGAGCAAAGCCACCAGCCCCTATATCGCTCTCCCCCCCCCCCCCATTCAACTATTTTGGTCTCCCAGTCAAATCTCTTTTCTCTAAAATATAAACAAAACATTGGGGAATTTAGAAGGGAGGGTTTGATTAGTAGTCTTTGTGAATCTCATGTTATATCTCTTATCTTCAAATGATTCATTGTCTTTTAAAAATGCTAAATATTGCCTTAGATTTTACTAATTTCCCAGTGGATATAGCAAACCCAGACCGTATATAGATTTGAGTTGTTGGAAGGCTAGGCTAAACAAGTTTGTGACCGCGAATTATGCTATTTACATAAACATACCAACGCTATATTTCGGACGAAACACAACCGGTAGTAGAAAACGAACTTGAAAAAAATATTAGAACCGTAATTAACTAATTTTATAACTTGTAACGATCCCGTTCCTCGCGTAACACAATAAACAGATAATGGTACAATAAAAAGGATACCATTTTCATTGAACTGAGATTTAGATTCAAAATGAAATACAATGATTTACAAACACACAGCCTTATACCCACTGACACATGTCCGTTTATACTTCACGTAATATAACATATGTATACATGCACATATATATCGTATAGTTCCATCAATAGTAGGTCAACCAAGCTTGGGGATTTGATATTAACATTTTGTCAATGTCGGCTTGAGTGATACCTAATTCCAGCATTTTCGGCACTGTGTAATCAAGAATATGCGAAAACCCTATCCCCCCATATTTGGTTAGACTATGACAGGCGTGTATGTGATGCGATATCAATATTTTGTCTACATAACCATGATCGATCAGTTTTATAATCTTTTCAATGCGTTGAAGATCTGACATACGCGGAATTAAATAAGAAATCTCGGAACCAAAGAAGTCATATTCCAAGTACGTACCCATGTCAGCAAACTCGATAACTTGCTCGTCGTTTGGAAACGCATAATCATGACGCTGCGTTTAGCATCTCCGCCCGCTTCTTGGAACAGGCGTAACACTTCAAAAGGTGCCTTGGAGTTCTCGGCAGGGTGGAGCATAACGGGGGTCTGGGTTTGAATTTGCGCTTCGGCAGCGGCCTGGAGACTACGTTTTTCAAAATCAGTAAACGGCCACGAAGTTCCAACTTCACCGATAATGCCAGGTTTGACTTTAGTATCTTTAATGCCATCGCTGATCTCGGATATCATGTTCTGTAATAAAAATAACACAGTCAGACAGGCGGATCAAAAATGAATGAAAATTCCATTGTGCCTTTAAGGCTGGCAAGTACATTTCTGTATGTCGGCGGCGTTCAAATATCTTGTGAGTTCCTGCCAACACGTTTTTCTTCACGATCAGTTTTCCTACTCCTGTTACTTAAAAACGTGAAATTTCAGGTCATTTACATGAAAAATAATTTGCAGCAATAGAAAGCTTACAAAAAACTACATATAAAATATTTAAACGGCTACCTCGATTTTTAAGTGCTTCTTGAGTTATGAGCTTTTGAAAACGTGTTTTCAGACTAGTGCCTTGGCCTATTTTTCACTACATTTCGGAACAGCAATGACTCGAACACCGCTTGAAAAATCAAGGTAACCGTTTAATATGTAGTGGTCGGCAAGCTTTCTAATGATGCAAGTTGCAAGTTAGTATTTCCATAAAAATGAACCTGAAATTTCACGTTTCTAACAAGCACAGGAGTTTAATAGGAAAATCGAAGAAAACGTATTATTGGCAGGAGCCCACAAGAAATTTGAACACCGGTATCCAGGGCCGTTTCGACCATAAATATTGGATCTCCCATATCTATCGTTTCGACCGCGCCCCCAGGGGGAGGAGGGGAATGAAAACAAAACTTTGGGCCCCCGTTCGCGAAACGGAAGGGGCTGAATTTTTTCGTAGCCCTAATTGGAAAGAGCGTTACAAATAATTTTTGTAACCCTATTAACCTTTACAAATCTACCTCAATTTTTTAGAATCCCGAAAATTTCACACACGATCCATAATTCCAGCATTTTGGGGCTCCCTCTCCCTTGTGGGTTCTTTTTCATCACGCCAACATGCAGTTGAAGGCAACATAGAATCGCCAAGGGCAAAGTCGAATTGCCCAATTAATAAGGCCGGGTGAGTTTTTGTCCTCTTATCTGCCTGACCAATAGAAATGATTGGTAAGAGTTTTTGTGCCAATTTTCACGATGCGTGTTGATCTATGCATGTTAAAGTAAACAGAAGCCTACATCGATTGCCGAAGAGATTATTAGTCCATACAAGATTTTGCGGATATCATGTAGCGCGCTATTATATACCGTTCTAAAAATGTTCTTTCTGGGACTTAGAGGCTGGGACAAGGCTATCGCAAATAGACCAACCAAATTGCTATTTCAATGTTCTTCTATATACATTTTTAAAAGATAGGGGCTTTTCAGTTGATACGGCAGGTGCGAAACAGTGCATTCTGATTAAAATAACAATAAAACCAAAATATTTTGTATATATTGACTGTGTAAATACTGGACCAACTTGATTGGAAATTTCCCATCAAGCTATTGTCCAGTATTACAGGGAAACCGGAGAACCTGCGGAGTCTGCACGTGAAGACGAAGTAGAAATAGCCGGCGGCTTCATTGCGAAATATGCCAATAGAAACATCGCCAGTGCAGGTTATATTTTTCAGGTAGTTGCAATATCCCAACCATTAACGAAAGCTTGCTAGCCTGCTAACCACAAACTTCAAATCGTATTGTAAGGTCAACTGATAGCTGTTCGAAGTTAAAAATAAATCATTAATTAGCTACTTAGCTGTCTAAAACTTGTAAAACTTACTACTCCTTCAAATGTGATTTGAAGTTTGGCGTTTGTGGTTAGCGCGACTAGACACCTTAAGATTGACGTTTACGGCAAACGTCAAACCGCTAGCGAAGTTTTTGATTTTACCACTCTATTATATAATAGCATTTACACCAGTTTGGAAATATGTTAAACAATTATTAAACTTGTGCTCTTTAGGAATTATTTAAGAAAGCAAATTAACCACTAGTCGTGTATTCACCAAAGCAGTAAATTAAGATTTGTCGTTTGAAGTTTACGTTTGTCGTATAAATTTCATACTAGTTAACATGCACAACTCAACGAAAACGATCGTATAGCCTCATTAAACGAACGATCTATTCGTCGAAATGCATAAAAACTGGCCTGCTCATTGGTAGAGACAGCACATCATGAAAAACCGTTCCACGTAACAAACGAGTTAATTCTCATTAGTTAAGACAGCTGACAGCACATCATGAATTTGCGACTGGTGTTACACAGCGAATGGACTTATACTCGCAAGGACAATACAATTATAAGTTGTTCGAAATACATTGTCAAATATTCAATATTTTAGAAAGGACTCGACATGCACTTGCCCATGTTAAACTCCAAAACAAATGTTCACATTGACAGGCATGCAGGCATTACTGTAATTCGTTGAAAAATCCGGACCATTAAACTCACAAAGTTAGGAAACAAAACTCCCTCAATACGTGGAGTTGGGCTTTGCAAGGAATAATAATTGATAGAAACGCTGAAGTAACATATTAGCGGTTAACAATTAATGCATGGTTTACTTCGTTATTTAAGCCAAGATACGTTTCTTCCTCTAACAATTATTCAATATTCCCACTCAGTACACACAAATCAACGGAGAATAAAAGATTACACCCGTTTTCAAAATTACGCGACCAAGCTAGGACGAAAATGCTAGAGTTGACATGTCAGTTTTATGTCATTCGGTCACGAAGTTTAAACTTCGAGTTTTGCGGTTCCTTGTCGAGGTATATGCTTTGTATGCTAAATATAAACAGGCTTACAATGATTTTCAAGATATTTTAGTGAGAATTATTGCAAAATTTAAGCACAAACAAAATCATAACATCACCGTTATGACTAGCGCGCGTGTTTTATACTGACATCTAAATTCCAGGATAAATTGTTATTTTTCAAACTTTAAAAGTTATTCACGGCACATATTTCTGTTGTGATGGTTTGTATTGTGCTTTAGTTTGTATATCTAAGTTATCTAACTCATTTTTGTTCAGTTTTGGTATTAAATACGGTTTAAAATGTCTTTTGACAGTTTGTTTACGTTTGCTATATTTTTAGCAGTTTTTGTGACATAAAACTGATATTTGAAGTAAGAGTATTTTTCAGGGAGGTCGCGTAATTTTGAAAATGGGTGTAAGTACAACTGATAAAAATTGCGGAGCGGTTGCAGCCTCATATATTGACTCGTCCATCGTGACTACGGTTGAAAAACATCAAGGCATTATTAAAGTATACTTGCATTTAATATTTCCATAAAGACAAGGATGAAAAGTGCAATTTGCATCGCTATTCACTATTAATGCAGAGAATGTCAAAAATTATGTGTATCCTAAAACCAAGTAACACATCCCAAAGACTATATAAAACTTCGGTAGTTTTGATTCAATTTATAGCCATTTGCTAAACAATAACCTATGTTTTGATATAATATTATGCATGTATAATTGTAATCTTGACATATAAAATAAGCTATCCTTATTAACATAACTGAATATTCGTTCGTTTTCGTTGAGTTGTGCATGTTAACTACTTGAACTGCTAGGCTATTAGTAAAACACGGAGCACGGAGCACACGGAGCACGGAGCACACGGAGCACGGAGCACACGGAGTACGGAGCACACGAAGTACGGAGCAGTAGAAAAACGAAAATCCTTTATAATAAAATACACTGTTTACTATTACAAATTTTTGTTATTATTAACAAAGTTTTTTCGCGTATTACACGTTGGGGAAGTAGGAAAATGGGGCTTTTACTGAAAAACACATATGATGCAAAACCAGGCTGCCAAAAGCCATAGTATTTAAAATGGGATTGTGAAACTCGTTATCTTACATCTATCAAGCTTATGTAGTTATATTATATTCCGATTGGCAACACATAAAGAAACACTTACTGTAGAGAACAGCCGATATATTTCGTTACCCCTGCCAAAAATAGCCAAGTATACTCATCTTTCAATGTAGCGGATCGACTGAACATTAAATCTTGTGATGAGAAAAGTGAATTTTCGGTTTATCCTTCGGCTCAGTGACCGGTGGCAGTGAGCTGTACGGCCGGCTAAGTTTAAGCCGTTATACAGTACATCATTACTGCTTTCATTCTTTCAATTCGTTTTGAATATTCGGAATCATTCACAATATTATAAAACTGTATAAGATAGCTGTAGAACTATAAATGCTGTAGAATGAAATAAATAAAGAAAAGTAAGTTTTCAAATCGCGGTATTTGCCGATAAATCGGTAATCGCTACAGAAAAACAGAACAAATTACAGTATTAAAATCACAACAAACCGCGGAAGTGGGACAATTTTTGTATTTTTACTGTAAGACATGTAGAACATGTACGAAATCCATACAGAAATGTGTGTGTATTCTATACTTTTGAAACAACTAAATCAGACTTCGGAAAATTTGACCGTATTAAAGCTGCTTTTGGGAATTTAGATTTTAGGTCTTCGTTTTACATGTACCCAGACCAGTAAATATTTTTGAGTTTTGAATTTTGTGTATAAATCCACACCAACGCCTCAAAGGCGAAAAGGAGGGCAAGATTGTTAGAATTGCTATTGTAAACATGAGCAGTTTCGAGCATAAACATAAAATTGAAACGAGTAATTTTTACACATCTGATTGACTAAATTCAGGAAGCCATTTAAGTGTACGCGTATTTGTTACAATTCCGATCAACTCTGCAGAGCCAGAGGCAGAGTAAATTGTAAACAAATTGTAAGCTTGTGAAAATCAGAGTTCAAAACTCAAAAATATTTACTGGGTACATGTAAAACAAAGACCTAAAATCTAAATTCTCAAAAGTAGCTTTAATACTGTCAAATTTTCCGAAGTCTGATTTAGTTGTTTCAAAAGTATAGAATACACACACACACTTCTGTATGGATTTCGTACATGTTCTGCATGTCTTACAGTAAAAATACAAAAATTGTCCCACTTCCGCAGTTTGTTGTGATTTACTGTAATTTGTTCTGTTTTTCTGTAGCGGTTACCGATTTATCGGCAAATACCGCGATAAAACGTAGTTTTCTTTATTTATTTTATTCTACAGCATTTATAGTTCTACAGCTATCTTATACAGTTTTATAATATAATAGTGAATGATTTAATTGAAAGAATGAAAGCAGTAATTATGTATAACGGTTTAAACGTAGGCCGTACAGCACACTGCTCACTGGTCACTGGGACGAAGGATAAACCGAAAATTCACTTCTCTCCATGACAAGCTTTTATAATGTTCAGTCGATCCCGGCTACATTGAAAGATGAGTACTTGGCTATTTTTTGGCAGGGGTAACGAAATATATCGGCTGTTCTCTAAGTGTTTCTTAATGCGTTGGCCATCGGAATATAATATAACTACATAACTCATAAGCTTGATAGATATGTGACGAGTTTCACAGGCACAATCCTATTTTAAATACTATGGCTTTTGGCAGTTTTGCATCATATGTGCAGTAAAAGCCCCATTTTTCTACTTCCTCAACGTGTAAAACGCGAAAAACTTTATTAATAAGAACAAAAATTTGTAATAGTAAACAGTGTATTTTATTATAAAGGATTTTCGTTTTTCTACTGCTCCGTAGTTCGTGTGCTCCGTGCTCCGTGTGCTCCGTGCTCCGTGTGCTCCGTGCTCCGTGTGCTCCGTGCTCCGTGTGCTCCGTGCTCCGTGTGCTCCGTGCTCCGTGTTTTACTAATAGCCAGCACAAACAGAGGATGACAACTTCCTGTGTGTCCCCACATAAACAAAAGTCTAACACATGCGCAGATGCGACTGTAACCTACCTTTAACCCCCAGAGGGGGGGGGGGAGGTCGGGCATATGTGGGGTATTTGATCATCAATTGCATCCCCACCCTGGGGAGTTTGATTAGCATTTTGGCCCCGAGTTGGGGCAATTTGAACCGAATGACTTTTATTAATATAGTATTTATTGCAATTTATTGCAAAATGGTGGGGCATTTGACCAATATTTATTGCCCGACGGTGGGGCATTTAATTGAAAATTTGCTCAAAAAATCAAATGCCCCACCTATGCCGGACCCCCCACCCCCTCTGGGGCTTAACATTGATAGGTGCATTATGTTAACCAACTTTTTATTATGTGTTTATATCTATTTATTATCATATTTCCTTTTGTTTACGGTGTAGTTTCCAGTAAATTGCAATAAATATTACTAACACCAAAGGCCCATCTGCATGTAAGCCCACCTGTGAATAGGCCCACCTGTGAATAAGCTCACCCCTGTTAAGCCCATCAAAGCGGGAGTTCGACCGACATGGGTTTTTTTTCGAAAACAAAATGCCCCAAACATTTTTTCCAAACACTAGTTTGAGATATTGGGGGGTTAAAAATACTTTATCAGATTTTTTAGACCTCAATTTTCCAGAAAATGACTCGATATTTAACACGTTCCACAGTTCCAGACTCCAACTGACTGTACAAGCATATAGGTTGTGACAACAATGCCAGAATGCTACAGTTCAAGAAGGAATCGACTACCTTGAAAAACGGCTTCTCTCGGGCTTCATCCCTTGACCTCTATATTTTCAGCTACTCAAATCCATCTTTCTGGCATAAAAAATGTTCACATAATTCTAAAGCATTCGCCTGTCAAAATTTAAAAATAGGCACGCTAGGCGTGCATGTATCTGCGCAAAATGTTGACCGTATCCAGCCACCATGCAGCTGTTATTCAGTCGTCATGTTCCCTAGCCAGTGCGCTAATGAGAGGCGTTCACATCCCCCCCCCCCCTTTGAACGCCTGACATTTTTTTTCTGGAGGAAGATTATCTCTCCTTAGTGCCCTGGCTAGGGACATGGCGGCAGTTGCGCCAACATCAAAGGTTCGGACAAGGAATCGGATTTTGATTTGTATATGTACTCTGTGGCATCATGTTCGATTCCTCTGCCTGTCTCTCCTCCCTACACCTTTTTAAAAAATTAGTTTGTAAGACAGAGCTCATAAAAAAGGATAAATTGAACAAAAATAATGAATTTGAACTCATGAATGAGGTAAAAGAAGTACTCCTCCTAAAAGCATGCTACGAGCTGTAGTAGTTAAAACCGTTAATAATTGCAGAGTATTATTAATCATATACGCAATGACTAAGTTATGGGTAAATTTCATCAGTGGTAAATTTACAACTGACAATCCATACAATTTCCATTAGTTGCAATAATTATGTCTGGCAAATGTGATGGACTATTGCTGTTTTGGCAAATATAATAAGGGATAACAATTTATAAATAAATTATCTAGGATATGAACTTTTATAATTAAATTATTTATTTTGTGCATGTGAATGTGTTATGCGAAAGCAGGCCTTCCATTGCGGATTTCGAACTAGCGTTTCAGCGCTTTAATTTCCGGTAATTGTTTTTTCGTTGAAACATTTTACTAAGGACTAAGGTCAATGACTCAATGTCAAGTCTAGCTAGTGGTCTTTGCCCGTTGTTTACTTGTTTTCTTGTCCGTTGTTTATCATTTGTAAATGTAACTGTTATATTCGTGTTTATCTCGCCATTGGCAACACTTTGATATATAATTTATGAAGCTTTGTGAATCATTTCATGTTTTTATTGATATTTTGGAAATTGTAGCGTATTAAAGGCCTCAAAATTATTTACTTCCTGGCCAGCTGGCCTTTTATACGCTACAATTTCCAAAATATCAATAAAAACATGAAATGATCGACAAAGCTTTGTAAATTATATATCAAAATGTTGCCAATGACGAGATAAACACGAATATAACAGTTACATTTACAAATGATAAACAACGGACAAGAAAACAACGGGCAATGACCACTAGACTTCACTTAGTTACACATGTCTATGACGCTACGGCTGTTAGCAATCCGACAAAAATTTACTACGTTTCTGGTATTGAAACTAGATTGTGTTCACACTATAACGGAGTGGTTTGCCGTAGTGTATTAACTACGGACCACTACAGTTTCCACTCTGGCTGCAAATCACTACACTACGGTATTAAAATTGCCGTAGCGTCATAGTGTAAACGCGACCTTGGCTTAGTATCAGTTTTCACATGCGAAATTTATCTTTGTATTTGGCACTATTTGCACGTTTTACTTTGCAACATAACAGTATTTCTTCGGCTACAACGAATATAATCTTTGTGGCCGATTACCACAATGTTTTAAATGTTTCTGATACTAGTGTATTAAAAGTCGTTGTGTGATTCTGTGAACATGTCGAGTGTTGTTTATAGCAGAGTAGTTAAATTAAAAACCTTTGTTTAATGCAGACATTAGCATCAATGATAAGACTTGGCATCACCAAAGTCTAAATGTTTTGCTATAATTTTTGATATTTGCCATGTCCATGATACTGTGCATTTCGATCTAGCGTTTCAGCCGTTTAATTTACGTATATTCACTCCATCAAAGGCGGCCATTTTGAATTTGAATATGATCAATATATCCATCCAGTTACATTTTTTACGGTTTTGCAAAATATAGAGATCAAAATGACACACGTGATGCTGATCGCTGTCGCTGATTGGCTCCGGGCTAACACACGGTCTGCACGATGGCAATGTATCTGCGCTAGCGCAGATACAAAAACCTATGGTACTTCTTAGTTGCCTTACTTTCTATACGGCGCATTTGCATAATCCTCGTCAAAATTTATATATTTTCAGTTCAAGTTGTGCGAGAATGCGTCAGAATGGCTGCCATATTTGCTAGACGTAACAATCCTCCCCCCCTGAAAAGTATAAATAAGCTGAATAGTAATAATAATAATTGTGGACCATTTTCCGCGCTTTTTGAAAAAAATAGTTTGGCAAAAAGGTTATAACGTCTTCATTTTTAGTTTTACGTGTGGGCAAAAAACAGCAAAAAAGTAAGGCTATATAATATAGCCTTAACTTTTCGTACATTTTTAGCCACTTATGGCATTTTTCATAAGTGGGCAAAAAAGAGCAAAAAAGTAAGGCTATAGCCTTAACTTTTCGTCCATTTTTAGCCACTTATGTCATTTTTCATAAGTGGGCAAAAACAGCAAAAAAATAAGGCTATAGCCTTAACTTTTCGTCCATTTTTACCGACTTATGGCATTTTTCATAAGTGGCAAAAAACAGCAAAAAAGTAAGGCTACAATAGCCTTAACTTTTCGTCCATTTTTAGCCACTTATGTCATTTTTCATAAGTGGGCAAAAAACAGCAAAAAACTAAGGCTATAGCCTTAACTTTTCGTCCATTTTTACCGACTTATGGCATTTTTCATAGGTGGGTAAAAAACAACAAAAAGTAAGGCTATAATAGCCTTAACTTTTCGTCCATTTTTACCGACTTATGGCATTTTTCTTAAGTGCGCAAAAAACAGCAAAAAAGTAAGGCTATAGCCTTAACTTTTCGTCCATTTTTAGCCACTTATGTCATTTTTCATAAGTGGGCAAAAAACAGCAAAAAAATAAGGCTATAATAGCCTTAACTTTTCGTCCATTTTTACCGACTTATGGCATTTTTCATAAGTGGGCAAAAAACAGCAAAAAAACGGCCTTAACTTTTCGTCCATTTTTAGCCACTTAGGGACCGGTCATTATTTATGGAAGGGGGGGAGGGGAATTTTTTCTTTCCTAAATTTTTAAAATTGAAAGCCCCCCCTTAAAAGAGCAGAAATTTAATGATGACCCCCCCCCTCTACATATTAGAATATTTTTCTTTTTGACCCTCCCATTTTCATTTTACTGACAAATAAGTCAATGGGGATACCCAGGCGTTGTAATGTTAATTATTAATTAAGGCATGTAGTAAAAACACTGACTACCGGAACACCGAACACCACCGAACACCGGAACACCACCATTTTGTTTGGGGTTAGGGTTTGGGGTTAGGGGTTAGGGTTGGGGTTAGGGTTAGGGTTGGGGGTTAGGGTTAGGGTTGGGGGTTAGGGTTGGGGTTAGGGTTAGGTGGTGTTCCGGTGGTGTTCCGGCGGTGTTCCGGTGGTGTTCCGGTGTTCCGGTAGTCAGTGTTTTACTACATGCCATTAATTAAGAAGAATATGGAGCTGACAAGATATTAACGTCGACCAAAAATATATATTAGCAGAAAATTATAAATAAAAGAGGGGTATTTTCATATATAACTCTAAAATCAGGTTTCCATTTGATCTGGGCAATTGTAACCATGTTTAACGGCAGAGAATTAATATTAGTGTTTGGAGGCAGGTGCCATTTGTGGTCCAAGGCTGTAACTAGATTTGATGGCACAAAGTATTGCCATAGCAGCTGCATAGCAATGAGAGTAACAATCAGTAATATTAGCAGCAAAAGCAGATAGCCATATGACAATTCTGGACATTCTGCCATTAGGCATACCTCCGCCACCAGTCACACTGACAAGTCAGTGGAAACAAAATATAATGTATAGTGGTCTATACATCCTATTTTATGTGAGATTAAAAAATATATAAAATAAAATGACCTACTACCAGATAAAATCCTCTAGAATAAACATGGGTGGGTGGGGTGGGTAGGGGAAAGGTATCTAAGAGCTAAACTTGCTGCAGCTATAGGCAAAGCATACAATGGCCAGTGGCGTGCTGGCAGGGGGGGGGCCGGGGGGCCACGGCCCCCCCCAGCTGGCAATTTTTGGGGGCGCAAAAACGAAAAGCGGGCGCCTATCCCGCGCCGAATTTTGAAAGTGGGTAGGAAGAAACGCATTCGAAAAAATATAGTTACTAATTCCGCCAAGGAAAGATGTGTTTATAGACTTATAAACAGACTAAGCGCATAGACGACAAAGTGAGTATATTAAATTGCAGACTGTTTTGTCCAACCGTATTTGCTACCTCACGATTCACACGAAATCACTCGTTCATATAGAAACATGATTAGTGATCACACGCAATGTCTCATTACCGGAATATTGATCAGGCTTCGAAGCGAATAAGCGATCACGGGAATTATGCCCTTTTTTGCTGGTATTATACCCTTATATTATGCCCTTTATTATGTTTCACGAATCACGAGAGCGGCGCAAATTAGAGAGTTGAAGTTATGATAATGTAAAGTTGTGTACGCAATTTAGTTGTTTGCGCAAGAAACATCATGAGTAATGTAAGTAACGAGATATAATGCTGAAACGCGCCCTTTTGGCAGACAGGCAAGAAAACCTTAAAATGCATATGCGTGGGGTCTGTGTGTTATTGCATAAAAGAGCTGCAAGTTGTCAATGTATTCAGATCAGTAGAGAATAGAATTGGGATTAGATTAATTGCTGGAAGTAGTTAGCATTGAACAATTTAAGTCCTACTACTAAATTCTAACCAATTTGCAAATTTCGACACGTTGTAATGCCGTTTCCTGACCATCAGATTTCTGTCAAATCTTCCCCCAAAGTCCAGGAAATGGCTTTTCAGACTTCAGAGACTGTAAATTCTAAAATTTTCCTGGGGAGCATGCCCCCGGACTCCCCTAGACAAACCTCGCACCTGTGGCGCTCGGCTCGTGCCTTCGGCCCTCGTTTATCAAGCGTAATATTATAGGGGCGCATATTGGTTGCCAGCCGACTGGCCCCCCCAGAAAAATAGTACCCAGCACGCCACTGACAATGGCAGTATAAATACCCACACCGACGCACTGATCACAAGGCGCGAAACAACCCCCTTTAATCGATATGACATCACAGACTCCCATCAGTGGATGTGGCCTGCATAGTCGGGTCCAAAGAAGAGCAACGAAGTACATTTTAAACCTTCCGTACTTGTGCAGTGAGACTTATCGGGAACGACTTGCCAGTCTGGGTCTCTTACCGCTATCTTACTGGCATGAATACTTGGATCTCGTGTTCTTTTTCAAAGCGGTGAACGGCTTGGTCGACGTGTCCCATGACGTCCTCCCCGAAGTCATGTCCCAAACCAGAACGACCAGATCCTCCAGTGGCAACCAAATCTCCTTCCGTCCGGCCAAATGCAAAACCTCTACCTACCAACGCTCCTTCTTTATTCGTACATCCAGAACTTGGAACTCTTTACCAACTACACTAAGATCTCCTGACATTAATATTAGGCAATTCAAAACCGATTTACAAACTTACTACCTGACAGCCCTGAGAGAATGCTTCGACGAAGAAGATCCGAGGACATGGAAGACTATTTGTCTGAAGTGTAACACTAGTCGTTACTTACGTTCTGAACTAACTTGTTGTTTTTAGTCTCCTGTCCATGTACTGTATGTTATATGTTCTGTACTGTATGTGTATTTTTGTATAGGGCCCACAGTAATTGGTTTACACTGTTGTGGTGTCCCTGCCATTTTTGTCCATGTTTATTGTGTAGATGTCTATTTGCTGTTCTGTTAAGTGTTTTTGGCAAAGTTTAATAAATAAATAAATAAATAGTACATTCGCTGTTAACCTTGCTTAAATGTATTTAACCACATCAAGATAGCTGATGTAATAATACATTGTCAATTTATCTCTGCAATATCAGTAAAGACTGATTTGCATACAGCACACAGAAGACAAGATAAATCCAGACTATTTCACACCAGTCACCATGATTTAGTCGCAATTGCAACCAAATGGATACCATGCTTATTAAGCAAATTCCTTCAAATTTAATTGCACACCCCCCCTCCTCCTTTTCTTGAAAAATTTAATAGCCCCCCCTTCTAGTCATTTATTTATACATATGCCCCCCCCCCTCATTTTTTCCCTCCCTCCCCTTCCATAAATAATGACCGGTCCCTTATGGCATTTTTCATAAGTGGGCAAAAAACAGCAAAAAAGTAAGGCTATATAGCCTTAACTTTTCGTCCACTTTTAGCCACTTATGTCATTTTTCATAAGTGGGCAAAAAACAGCGAAAAAGTAAGGCTATAGCCTTAACTTTTCGTCCATTTTTAGCCACTTATGGCATTTTTCATAAGTGGGAAGAAAAAAAAACAGCAAAAAAGTAAGGCTATATAGCCTTAACTTTTCGTCCATTTTTACCAACTTATGGCATTTTTCATAGGTGGGCAAAAAACTGCAAAAAAGTAAGGCTATAGCCTTTAAACTTTTTTGCTGTTTTTTTCCCACTTATGAAAAATGCCATAAGTCGGTAAATAAAAAGTATATGGTCAGAATTTCGCCTGTATGAAATAGAGGTGTGCAAATCCGATTTGTTCGGATTTCGGAACCAAAATATTCATTTTGGATCGGATTGATAAAGTTGTTTCGTAGTTGGATCGTACTTTGATGTCCAATATAAAATGAATTAATTAATAAAGTAAAAAAAGCAACTTGTGGTTCCGGTTTCATATCGCGGTAGTCCCCCCCCGTCCATGACACTTGTGACGTCAGGTACATACGGGACTTTGGGGGCGGGTTTTGGCGGGAAAATCTGTAATGTTTGGAGAAGACAAGATGGCGCTGGTTACCTCGCGTTATATCAAAGGGCATTTTTGTTCACAAATACCCGCTTATTTTACGTTATAGCGACTGGTTCGTTTTGGAAATTATAACTCAATGGACGGGGAAAATGATTCTGTATTAAAGAGAAAAAGATGTGCGGTTATTGTGATGTTATTTGTTGTGAAAGACGGCCCGAAATTTCGCTACTTCGCTGTACTGGTTTATAAAACATTTACAAGCAACAGCAATTGAACTATATGACAAAGAAACCAATGTGTACAAGCCAATCAAGTTCTTCAGTTTAAAGGTCAGTTTATTTTTAATAATTAGTTCATGTAGTTATATATTGATACGAAGTACACGGCCATTCCATTTAATATCCACACCCTCCTGTTGACTAGATTTTCCGAAGGGGGTCTGAAATTTTGAATTTCTGAGGGTGTGCCAAGTTGAAATTTCCGAGGGGGTTTGTGAAAGGAAAATTTCTTAAGGTGTCAACATTTTTGTAATTTTCCAAGGAGTTAAAATTTTTTTTAAATTTCTGAGGGAGGAGGAGGAAGGTATACCTGTTGACGAAAATTTCTGAGGGGGTGGTAAATAATTCCCAAAAATTACTGAGCGGTTTATCATAGTGGAACCACGTCAACAGTTATTTCTAAGGGCTTGAGAAAAATTGTTAATTTCCGAGGGGGTTCTTAAAAAATAGCGAATTGGGTCATTCCCCGACTGCATTCCAGGCCCCTCCCGCCAAAGATCTTTGGTGGGAAAAAACTTTACTGTCTTTTGGCGGTGTATTTTGGCGTAAATTTTAGCTCATCACTATTTTTGGCGGCGTGCATTCTAGAAGAATGGCGGATACACAAGCTGCATGTATAAATGGTGTTAATATACCAATGAATAATTAATGTTTGAATAATATTTCATTATTTTATTTAAATAAAGTACCTTTCTTTCTTAACTTCTTTATAACCTTTTCTACTTCCACTGTGCAATACAGCTTTAAAGTACTGATAATTGATTTGAATTAATGATATTACCCATACTTTCCTGCAACTTTTCCAAATATATAGTTGATTAAATACGCCTTCGGCCATTTAGTACTATGAAATTGTAAACAAATTGTAAGTTTCGACTTACTAAAACGCTGTTTTCTGACCATCAGAATTCTATCAAATCTTACCCAAAGTCCAGGAAATGGGATTTCAGAGGCTCGAAATTTAAAAATTTGCTCAATTGTTTTCAGCTCCACTCCCAATCAAAAACAACTTCCTATGGCATTATCAACACGAATATTCAGCATTCCCATAATTATATTGTTTATGAACTGTCTGTCGAAGTTGTCAATATAAGATGAGATTTTTGCACCTTTTTTATTTTTAAAATTTTTTTAAAGATGTGATTTTTGCACCTTTGGCGCACGTAACTTGACCGCTTTAGATATAATTAGTCTTTGGCGGATATAGTTTTAAAGCTGAATTTCTGGTGTGAATCTTTGGCGGTGAGAAAAGGTGGAATGCAGTCGGTTGTCATTCGAGAAAACATCCATACCACCCCCACAGAGGAAATAGGAAGTTAACCCCCCTACCCCCATTCAGATGTCCTAATACATTTACTATTATCAGAAACAATTTTTTCTCCCCTCCCTCTCCAGATGGCAGAAATTTCCTCTGTGTGGGGCAGGCCTCGAATTTCCCTGAAATCAATCGACGGCAATGGCGTTAAAAATTGCCGTAGAACGTAACAGCTGTCTACGACAATTTTGACAGTTTCCACGGCATTTTTCAAATTACTGTAATAAAACTTTAATTTTATTGTTACTTTGGATTTTTGACAAGCTAGAAACATGTCTACGTATTTCTTTAGTGTTTTTTTTTCGAAGAAAACTGAGACTAAAATGGTGATTTACGCATGATTTGATCAACATCTGAATTCAAGTCTCAAAATAGTAATGCACAGTGAATAGTATAAAAATTGCACTATACAGCAAAAAATTGCCGTCGTTGCCACAATGATCCACGGCATTTTGTTCTCCCTCTACGGCAATTACCGCGATAAAATTCGAGCCCTTGTGTGGGGAGTATGGATCTTTTCTGGAACAACCCATTTCCGAGGGGGGCTTACAGAAAACCGTTTCTGAAGGGGTCTAAAATCAGAAACCTCGTCAACAGGGGGTGTGGATATTAAATGGAATGGCCCACTGGATGCTAGTAAAAACTTTTTAATAATTAGTTCATTTAGTTGTGTATTAATACAAAGTACTGGATACTAGATAAATAGTTCATTTAGTTGTATATTAATCTGAAGTACTCTACTACTCGTGTTGCCACGCATAACATTGAATTGACGTTATCACCGGTACCCACCTCAGATAACGTTGATCGTTACCCTGTTGTATTTTGACCGCTAAAAGAGCTCAAAAGCAAAATGGCAGCTGAAATATGGTGTATAATCAATCAATTTATCTCAGAAATGCATTAAAATGCTGAGGCTTCAATTCAAAGTTATTACTGTATTTGTACGTATTTGACATGAAACGTCGCTTCAATACTTCAACCTTTGTTTTGGCCTCTATTAGTTGAAAATAATATAATACTGGCAAAAGTGCACGGCAAACATGAAATATTTAAACTTTGGTCTGTTTGGATGTAAATAGTCAAATTGCTACAAGATAATGTCGATTCTACGTAATGTGTGGCAACATGAATATGGACCTGGTCCCTTAGCGAGTTTGATTTGCTATTTGTATAAACAGACCCCAACCCCTTCTCTAACCCTAACCAATGAATGTGTAATGAACTATTGAGAGTTAAAAAAGTCAGGTGGGATTTTAAAATATTTTAAGAAAAATTTCTATGGGGCTGAATATGGAAGCCGGTTGGCCCGCCAAACAAGACAGCTCGGTAAGCAGGATGAATTTTGCTTGCGTTTATATGAGGAGATTTTATGCTGCTTGCCAGGCTAGGAATTGTTTACATTTCACTCAATTGGTTGGTGTTGCCAGAACAAATTTCAAATTTTGTAAACATTACAGCTGTTGAAGCACATTGCAACCTTTTGTTTTGTCTTTTTTACCTATGTAATGTCAAGAACTATAAAAATAGTTGCAGAAAAGACTTGAAACTATTGAAAATGTTTCATCCCAGCAACCGGGCCATCCCATTTGCTAGTGTTTATATGGGGAAATTTTCACCCTGGTTATCCATATAAATGCACATGAATTTTTACTATAAATTCTACTACACGGCGAGATCTTGCTAAGATGTAAGAAAAAAATACCTGTGGTTCCAGTTTCATATCATGACAAAATTTATAGGGTCGGTAGATCGGAATTTTTTTTTTAATATTATTTTGCTTGCTGGGTGATTTGCAGTAGAGTCCCGACATCAATATTAACTAGAGATGCGTATTTCCTATGGACGAATTTAGGCAATTTGGTTCAATAATTAGTGTGACAACAAACACCACTTTGGCACGCTGTATGAGCAGCCCACAACCACCTGGAGAAAATACGGTCGCATGGTCAATTGTGCTGAAAAAATAATAGGGTCGGCAGAAAAAAATAGAGTCAGTCAGGAACCGGAACCACAGGTATTTTTTACGCCTAACCGGGCTGTCTTGCCAAGTGGGCCAGCCTGGCTCCAAAATAAACAGCCCCTAAATCAAACAAAAATCGACAGCTAAAACAAAACGTGATCCCGACCTTGTTTCACTTTGCATGCATGCAACACCTTTGCTGAATACACTACCAGCCTGAATTGCTGAAAGCTATTGCAAAAAACTATTTTATATTACTACTTTACAAAATGTAAGAACCTGACACCATCCCTTCGACTTTGTGTCATCTATCTGGACAGTATGATTATTGTATGCGACTTTTCCAACCGAGAGATATATTAGACCCTCTTTCTACTTTTTTTCACTTTGCCTTGGTCACACTTTGAACAAGAGGTGTGCCAATTTTGCTTTCTCTCATCTCATTGTAGATGTCCGCCATTTTGAACTATTTTTTCATAAAAATATATTTAAAATATTTACAACTTTTTTGTGTTGCATACGACTGTCATAATCAAGTTGTAGGGCTATCTATACGGCACAATTTGTGTCGCAGGGATGGTGTCAACAAGTTGCATACAACAATCGTCATGGGCGTACGGGAAGGAAAAAATAAGGGGGTGGAAAGAAATTTGCCCGACTTTGTCGGATTGTGCCCGAGTTGTCAAAAAAAAATTTCCGGAGAAACTTTCCAAAATTGTTGTCGCTCCAATAATGTTTAGGTCCATTTTTTTAAGTATTTTATAAAGCATATGCTATGTATGCAGGGGTTTCAGAATGATTTGAAGTAGGCGGTTGTTCCGAAAAAGTAGCCGGCTGTGACTGATAGTTAAAAAAAACACGCAGGGAGGGTGATGGGGGCGTGCCCCCGCATGGAAATTTAAAACATTTTCGTGCGCAAATTAACAATCAAATAATCTAGAATACAGAAGTGAGAAGATAAAGTACAACTGTTCACTTGTTAGATTTAGATGTCATTTCCATTTATACTTGTAAGTGACAATGTACTTTAATGTGTTACTTGTAGTTTAATCACGAAGGTGTTTGCTGTCCGGAAAATGAAGATGCAATTTACAAACAAAAATATGCATATTCTACGCACAGACATATTGCAGTAGCTGAGTAGCATGCAGTGCCGTAGGAAGCTCTTTTTGATTAGTGGCTGAGAACGAGGGCCGAAGGCCCCGAGGAAATTTTTTAATTTAGAGTCTCTGAAATGCCATTTCCTGGACTTTGGGGAAGTTTAGAACAGAATTCTGATGGTCAGAAAACAGCGTTTTAGTATGTCGAAATTTACAATTTGTTTACAATTTAGTAGTCTGTACTAAATGGGCGAACGCGTATTTAATTAACTATATATTGCATGGAGAAGTTGCAGGAAAGTAAGGGTAATATGATACTTTGCAGTTTGTCATGGACAATGTAGCCGCTTAAAATTAATCAATTGTCAGTATTTTAAAGGTATATTACTGTATTTAAATGATAAAGGTATGCATGCATATTTTACCGATTTACGATTTGTTAAATGTTAGTATCCATGTAAATGCCATGATTTCGTAAATTTATACTGACAATACAATTATGTTATATTTTCTCTGTTTAACAACTAAAATTTTGTTATACTATTATTGCCGTAATTTTCCGAATGACCAACCTGATTTTCCGAATATGTTAATTCTAATTCTGGGGTAACCCTCCATCGTGTTGGTTCGCTTGTACCTTTGTACATAATTTTTTTCCTGTGACCAGACAAAAAGTAGCCGGCGGTAAAAGTTCAAGTAGTCGGCGGAACTCCGCCGGCCGCCGTCTTATTCTGAAACCCCTGTGTATGTGCTAAGAAGCTAGTTTTGTTGGCATGTGGAAAGCAAAAGTAGCGAAGGTAAAGAGATTAAAATTGGATTTAGTGCGTATTTTTGAAAAAAATTTACCACCAAATATAGTATCCCCCCCCCCGTCGATGACACTTGTGACGTCAGGTACATACGGGACTTTGGGGGCGGGTTTTGGCGGGGAAATCTGTAATGTTTGGAGAAGACAAGATGGCGCTGGTTACCTCGTGTTATATCAAAGGGCATTTTTGTTCACAAATACCCGCTTATTTTACGTTATAGCGACTGGTTCGTTTTGGAAATTATAACTCAATGGACGGGGAAAATGATTCTGTATTAAAGAGAAAATTATGTGCAGTTATTGTGATGTTATTTGTTGTGAAAGACGGCCCGAAATTTCGCTACTTCGCAGTACTGGTTTATAAAACATTTACAAGCAACAGCAATTGAACTATATGACAAAGAAACCAATGTGTACAAGCCAATCAAGTTCTTCAGTTTAAAGGTCAGTTTATTTTTAATAATTAGTTCATGTAGTTATATATTGATACGAAGTACAGGGCCATTCCATTTAATATCCACACCCTCCTGTTGAATAGATTTTCCGAAGGGGGTCTGAAATTTTGAATTTCTGAGGGTGTGCCAAGTTGAAATTTCCGAGGGGGTTTGTGAAAGGAAAATTTCTTAAGGTGTCAACATTTTTGTAATTTTCCAAGGAGTTAAAAATTTTTTTTAAATTTCTGAGGGGGGAGGAGGAAGGTATACCTGTTGACGAAAATTTCTGAGGGGGTGGTAAATAATTCCCAAGTGGAACCACGTCAACAGTTATAATTTCTAAGGGCTTGAGAAAAATTGTAAATTTCCGAGGGGGTTCTTAAAAAATAGCGAATTGGGTTATTCCTCGACTGCATTCCAGGCCCCTCCCGCCAAAGATCTTTGGTGGGAAAAAACTTTACTGACTTTTGGCGGTGTATTTTGGCGTAAATTTTAGCTCATCACTATTTTTGGCGGTGTGCATTCTAGAAGAATGGCGGATACACAAGCTGCATGTATAAATGGTGTTAATATACCAATGAATAATTAATGTTTGAATAATATTTCATTATTTTATTTAAATAAAGTACCTTTCTTTCTTAACTTCTTTATAACCTTTTCTACTTGCACTGTGCAATACAGCTTTATAGTACTGACAATTGATTTGAATTAATGATATTACCCATACTTTCCTGCAACTTTTCCAACTATATAGTTGATTAAATACGCCTTCGGCCATTTAGTACTATGAAATTGTAAACAAATTGTAAGTTTCGACTTACTAAAACGCTGTTTTCTGACCATCAGAATTCTATCAAATCTTACCCAAAGTCCAGGAAATGGGATTTCAGAGGCTCGAAATTTAAAAATTTGCTCAATTGTTTTCAGCTCCACTCCCAATCAAAAACAACTTCCTACGGCATTATCAACACAAATATTCAGCATTCCCATAATTATATTGTTTATGAACTGTCTGTCGAAGTTGTCAATATAAGATGAGATTTTTGCACCTTTTTTATTTTTAAATTTTTTAAAGATGTGATTTTTGCACCTTTGGCGCACGTAACTTGACCGCTTTAGATATAATTAGTCTTTGGCGGATATAGTTTTAAAGCTGAATTTCTGGTGTGAATCTTTGGCGGTGAGAAAAGGTGGAATGCAGTCGGTTGTCATTCGAGAAAACATCCATACCACCCCCACAGAGGAAATAGGAAGTTAACCCCCCTACCCCCATTCAGATGTCCTAATACATTTACTATTATCAGAAACAATTTTTTCTCCCCTCCCTCTCCAGATGGCAGAAATTTCCTCTGTGTGGGGCAGGCCTCGAATTTCCCTGAAATCAATCGACGGCAATGGCGTTAAAAATTGCCGTAGAACGTAACAGCTGTCTACGACAATTTTGACAGTTTCCACGGCATTTTTCAAATTACTGTAATAAAACTTTAATTTTATTGTTACTTTGGATTTTTGACAAGCTAGAAACATGTCTACGTATTTCTTTAGTGTTTTTTTTCCGAAGAAAACTGAGACTAAAATAGTGATTTATGCATGATTTGATCAACATCTGAATTCAAGTATCAAAATAGTAATGCACAGTGAATAGTATAAAAATTGCACTATACGGCAAAAAATTGCCGTCGTTGCCACAATGATCCACGGCATTTTGTTCTCCCTCTACGGCAATTGCCGCGATAAAATTCGAGCCCTTGTGTGGGGAGTATGGATCTTTTCTGGAACAACCCATTTCCGAGGGGGGCTTACAGAAAACCGTTTCTGAAGGGGTCTAAAATCAGAAACCTCGTCAACAGGGGGTGTGGATATTAAATGGAATGGCCCACTGGATGCTAGTAAAAACTTTTTAATAATTAGTTCATTTAGTTGTGTATTAATACAAAGTACTGGATACTAGATAAATAGTTCATTTAGTTGTATATTAATCTGAAGTACTCTACTACTCGTGTTGCCACGCATAACATTGAATTGACGTTATCACCGGTACCCACCTCAGATAACGTCGATCGTTACCCTGTCGTATTTTGACCGCTAAAAGAGCTCAAAAGCAAAATGACAGCTGAAATATGGTGTATAATCAATCAATTTATCTCAGAAATGCATTAAAATGCTGAGGCTTCAATTCAAAGTTATTCACTGTATTTGTACTTAATTGACCGGTATTTGACATGAAACGTCGCTTCAATACTTCAACCTTTGTTTTGGCCTCTATTAGTTGAAAATAATATAATACTGGCAAAAGTGCACGGCAAACATTAAATATTTAAACTTTGGTCTGTTTGGATGTAAATAGTCAAATTGCTACAAGATAATGTCGATTCTACGTAATGTGTGGCAACATGAATATGGACCTGGTCCCTTAGCGAGTTTGATTTGCTATTTGTATAAACAGACCCCAACCCCTTCTCTAACCCTAACCAATGAATGTGTAATGAACTATTGAGAGTTAAAAAAGTCAGGTGGGATTTTAAAATATTTTAAGAAAAATTTCTATGGGGCTGAATATGGAAACCAGTTGGCCCGCCAAACAAGACAGCTCGGTAAGCAGGATGAATTTTGCTTGCGTTTATATGAGGAGATTTTATGCCGCTTGCCAGGCTAGGAATTGTTTACATTTCACTCAATTGGTCGGTGTTGCCAGAACAAATTTCAAATTTTGTAAACATTACAGCTATTGAAGCACATTGCAACCTTTTGTTTTGTCTTTTTTACCTATGTAATGTCAAGAACTATAAAAATAGTTGCAGAAAAGACTTCAAACTATCGAAAATGTTTCATCCCAGCAACCGGGCCATCCCATTTGCTAGTGTTTGTATGGGGAAATTTTCACCCTGGTTAACCTATCCATATAAATGCACAGGAATTTTTACTATAAATTCTACTACACGGCGAGATCTTGCTAATTAAGATGTAAGAAAAAAATACCTGTGGTTCCAGTTTCATATCGTGACAAAATTTATAGGGTCGGTAGATCGGAAATTTTTTTTTGAATATTATTTTCATGGTTTTGGCGTTTTTTTGCTGGGTGATTTGCAGTAGAGTCCCGACATCAATATTAACTAGAGATGCGTATTTCCTATGGACGAATTTAGGCAATTTGGTTCAATAATTAGTGTGACAACAAACACCATTTTGGCACGCTGTATGAGCAGCCCACAACCACCTGGAGAAAATACAGTCGCACAGTCAATTGTGCTGAAAAAATAATAGGGTCGGCAGAAAAAAATAGGGTCGGGAACCGGAACCACAGGTATTTTTTACGCCTAACCGGGCTGTCTTGCCAAGTGGGCCAGCCTGGCTTCAATATAAACAGCCCCTAAATCAAACAGAAATCGACAGCTAAAACAAAACCTGATCCCCGACCTTGTTTCACTTTGCATGCATGCAACGCCTTTGCTGAATACACTACCAGCCTGAATTGCTGAAAGCGTATGCTATGTATGTGCTAAGAAGCTAGTTTTGTTGGCATGTGGAAAGCAAAAGTAGCGAAGGTAAAGAGATTAAAATTGGATTTAGTGCGTATTTTTGAAAACATTTTACCACCAAATATGGTAGTCCCCCCCCCCTCCCCAGTCGATGACACTTGTGACGTCAGGTACATACGGGACTTTGGGGGCGGGTTTTGCCGTTTTGGCGGGAAAATCTGTAATGTTTGGAGAAGACAAGATGGCGCTGGTTACCTCGTGTCATATCAAAGGGCATTTTTGTTCACAAATACCCGCTTATTTTACGTTATAGCGACTGGTTCGTTTTGGAAATTATAACTCAATGGACGGGGAAAATGATTCTGTATTAAAGAGAAAAAGATGTGCGGTTATTGTGATGTTATTTGTTGTGAAAGACGGCCCGAAATTTCGCTACTTCGCAGTACTGGTTTATAAAACATTTACAAGCAACAGCAATTGAACTATATGACAAAGAAACCAATGTATACAAGCCAATCAAGTTCTTCAGTTTAAAGGTCTGTTTACTTTTTAATAATTAGTTCATTTAGTTGTACATTAAGGGGTCACGTCCATATTCATGTTGCCACGCATAGCGTCGAATCGACGTTAACACTCAAACCCACCCACCCTAAATAACGTCGAACGTGGCAGTCACATTCTTCAAAACTTTCACAAAATTGTCATTTTGCCACGAGATTATCGATATAACGTTGAGAGAATTAAGATAAACCCACCCACCTATGGCGTCATATCACCGCCAATATTCATGTATATCATGCTTTCGACATTGAAGTTAAATAGGACATTCAGCACCTACGTGCTTTCGACATTGAAGATAAATCTGACATTGAACATGCAGAACATTCAACATATTTTCGATATTGAAGTTAAATAGGACATTCAACACCTACGTGCTTTCGACATTGAAGATAAATCTGGCATTGAACATGCAAAACATTCAACATATTTTCGACATTGAAGTTAAATATGACATTGAACACCTATGTGTTTTTGACATTGAAGTTAAACCGGACATTGAACATGCCGCGCATTTAGCACCCATCACAACTTCAACGTTCAAAATATGTTGAAAAAAATTACCACATGTTGAATATTGGCGGAGTTGAACGATAGCGTCAAATCTCCGCCAATATTAATTAAGCTAACACAAGATAACCCCCCGGCCAAATTCATTCGTGTCCAGACCTCTAGAACATATCACATGACGCAAGCCGAGGATCGAATTCGCCGCATCTTGTCGCTGTATTGGAGGCCGTATATTCACCATAATATTCGTGTATATTCGCTTGATTGTCTTAAATTAATTGACTTTTATAGCGCAGATTGAATTGCCAGAGACGCAAAAAACGCAAAATCTGGTAGAATGAACCCAGAGGCAATAATTTCCGCAAGAGATGCAGGCAGATGCTCTGTTTGAAGTTGCTGAGCGATTGAGACAACATGCAGTCAACAGCTGTTATTATAAATGTATAAAAACTGATATTATTTTATTTATTAGATTATATTTTAAAAATTTCTAATAATCGCATTATAGATAATCGATACATAGCAAGTTTATACATGCCCATAGCATTAAAGCGTTAGGACAAGAGTAAAGTTGTGCAAAGTCTCCTGGAGTACAAAGGTCTGGTACAAAGGTCAATCTGTGAATCGTGTGATCATACACGTGCAAAGCGCAAGGCTGAATTAACAACAAACCATTGTCAAATCTCTTCCCATGCGTGCGGGAAAATAGACCAATCAGGTTTCACCTCTTCGTCTGCATAATTGCCTGCTTGGATCAGTAAGCCTCATTGTGTCACTTGCAAGCAAAATTGTATGACCTCTGTGGCAAAGTACTTCAAAATTACCACCCATCCCACCCTTCAAGGATTTTGCACCACTATATGTATAGGTTATTTTGAGGCAACGAGGGGATATGTGATTTATTCACCGAGGCGCGCAGCGCCGAGGTGAATAAACACATATCCCCGAGGTGCCTCAAAATAACGTACTTATTTTTCACACTGCGAGGTCGCGTTAATGAGTCAGAATAGAAATAATTCTCAATGCCATATTGCCTTCGCAATGTTGTTTTTTTCTCATTTTTTTGTGCTGCAAAGACATTGCAGGTGAATATTAGAGGGGATTATTAATTGCAGGTGAATATTAGAGGGGATTATTAATTGCAGGTGAATATTAGAGGGGATTATTAAACGGAAATTGATTAGAGGGGAATATTGAATATATTCTCCAATAAGAACAAAGGAAACCGAGCAGGGTGAAAAATAACATAACTTGTATCACATAATAAATAAAAATCTGTAAATATTGTTTTGATATGCAATCTGTCATCAAGATTCACATGAAATGCAATTCATGTAATGTTCTAGATAAAGTATTATGGAGTAGTTTACTGGTTAATATGTTATTACAGGCACATCTATATTTTGTAATATACAGTATTGGAATTGACTTTGCAAGTCTGGTTGTAAAAATAAAAATATTTGGTTGTTTGGGGATGGAGTGCTCCCAAAGGTCACCCTCAACCCCATAGACTCACACAAATCAATGTATTATACAGTGTATTGTAAAGTAAACAATGACCATCACGGGGATCTACTACCCCTTGGACATTAAAGTAAACAATGACCATCACGGGGATCTACTACCCCTTGGACATTAAAGTAAACAATGACCATCACGGGGATCTACTACCCCTTGGACATTTAAGATGCCCATCTCGGGGATCTACTACCCCTTGGGTAAAGTCCAACATGGGGGAACCACAACCCCCTGAGGACATATAATTATATCATAATCATATTGCTGTAATAGTGAGTCTGTGGGGCGACACTTTGGCCACAGTTTAAAGTATAATCGGAGCATTTCTCCTCGACGACCCTTCTCCCACAACATTGTGTGTCATAGTTGTTTCCTAATTGTCCTAGAATATTTGCTTAACGAATTGGTGCATTAATTTAATATTTAGGCAAAAACAATGCATGCGTCAACGTGAACTTTTGCTGCGACAGAAAGGCAGATGGTTTTCTTTGTATATTAAATCGTTGTGGTGTAATGTGATAGTACTTGTCAATTTAGCATAATTTTGAGCACTTTTCTTTCCGGATCCGTGAGCCTTTTATAACTTTATTTGTCATTTACTTATACAACTGTTTACAAAAAATCCTACTGTTTACAAACTTTTGTGTTACATACTTAATTACCGTAATAGGTGTCTTCTTATTAATTCAATAACTGTTACACAATAGAGATTTTTGCTGTCAATGGACCTTTCCCCTTATAACTAAAATTTCGATCTAGACAAAAATTTCATCACAGCTTGAAAGAGCATCACAAAATTAGTAATATTCCAAAGTTTTGTTGCAAAATCTTGTAAAATGCGGATAATATAGCCTTGCGAAGTTTGCCGTTTTTCAGTCATTTTGTATTACAAACGGGAAATTGACATACGATTCGGGTGTTGGGGCTGCAATTTCCCGTTTGTAATGCAAAATGACTGAAAATTGCAAACTTCGCAAGGCTCTATTTTCCTCATTTTACAACATTTCGCAACGAAACTTTGGAATATTACTAATTTTGTGATGCTCTTTCAAGTTGTGATGAAATATTTGTCTAGACTTGCCTAGATCAAAATTTTGGTTATAAGGGGAAAGGTCTAATAGTTTCGTGAAAAAATTTATTTATCTAATACCATAAACTTCCGATTATAAGTCCCCGAATATAAGCCCGACGTCTATGACCCGGTCACATTACTAACGTTCACACCATTCGATATACTAGCCCGTAATCATAATCAGAAGTTTATGGTATAAGATAAATAAATTTTCTCACGAAACTATTATGTGCTATTATTAAAACGCTAATTCTAGTGCAATTGACAGCAAAAATCTTTATTGTGTAACAGTTATTGAATTAGTAAGAAGACACCTATTAAGTGTGTAACACAAAAGTTTTGTAAACAAGTAGGATTTTTTTGAATTGTTGTATAAGTAAATGAGAAATAAAATTATTAAAGGGCTCACGGATCCGGAACTTAGAAAAGTGCGCAAAATTATGCTAAATTGACAAGTACTATCAAATTACACCACATGGCCTCACGATTTAATATATAAAGAAAACCATCTGCCTTTCTGCCGCAGCAAAAGTTCAGTTTGACGCACGCATTGTTTTTGCAATTACACTCTAAATAAAATGTATCGATTATTTATAATGCGATTATTAGGAATTTTTAAAATATAATTTTTGCGTCTCTAGCAATTCAATCTGCGCTATAAAAACAAACTGCGCTAGACAAACAAGCGAATATACGCGAATATTATGGTGAATATACGGCCTCCAATACAGCGACAAGATGCGGCGAATTCGATCCTCGGCTTGCGTCATGTGATATGTTCTAGAGGTCTGGACACGAATGAATTTGGCCGGGGGGTTATCTTGTGTTAGCTTAATTAATATTGGCAGAGATTTGACGCTATCGTTCAACTCCGCCAATATTCAACATGTGGTAATTTTTTTCAACATATTTTGAACGTTGAAGTTGTGATGGGTGCTAAATGCGCGGCATGTTCAATGTCCGGTTTAACTTCAATGTCAAAAACACATAGGTGTTGAATGTCCTATTTAACTTCAATGTCGAAAATATGTTGAATGTTCTGCATGTTCAATGCCAGATTTATCTTCAATGTCGAAAGCACGTAGGTGTTGAATGTCCTATTTAACTTCAATGTCGAAAATATGTGGAATGTTCTGCATGTTCAATGTCACATTTATCTTCAATGTCGAAAGCACGTAGGTGCTGAATGTCCTATTTAACTTCAATGTCGAAAGCATGATATACATGAATATTGGCGGTGATATGACGCCATAGTTATATGGTATCAGGGATGATGGAAAGGGGGTGGGGCAAGGTCTCCTTTCCTAAAGGGGCAAATGTAGCATTTTAATACAAAATAAAACACAATATTTTTGTCCCAAATTTACTTTAATAACAAATTAATTAACAAAGATAAATATGATGGAAGAGAATTTGTATATTTAATTAGCTATTCCCAAAGTCCTGGGTCTAGTCGCACGAATTCTTTGTTGAAGGGGCAAGTAATATGGCAGCACACGTTTAAATTAAAATTTAATGTAAAAAGGAGATATTTCATTTTTGGTCATGTAAAAAGTTGATATTTGATAGTAGATACTTCTACTCTTTCACATATTTGATGCCCGTCTCCATATATTTTGTCCCTCCAAATCACCCCAGAATATGCACTGTGATCTCTTTTGAGAAAAGGCTAATTACAGTTAAAGTGAATATACTAACCCATATAGAATCTAAATCCAGGATGACATTTCACATCTTTTTTTTTTAAATAATATTGAGGAAAAATATATCATTTTGGAAAAAAAATGCAAAAATTGCAAAAGATGTTATATTTAAATTTTAACAAATTTATTTTCGTTCTTCGAGAAAATAAGTAAGAAATAATTTATTATTAGAATTTGATTTCTTGTTTTAAAAATGTATAAATGATTTGATATGAAGATGACAAAATCGTAAGAAAACATTCATATTTCAAGAAAACAAATGTAATTTAAGATATGTTAAGAGAATTTTTCTTATTTCAAAAAATGTTCTTCAACAAATATTTTCTTGCAGTAAGAATTGTTTTCTCAATAAGAAATTATTTTTTACTGTGTAGCTGAGATACTGTATATTGACAGACAATTGGCATATCTACATATATCTGCAATTTTTATGCAGATATTTTGCAGATATTTTGACAGACAATTGACATATCTGCAAATATCTGCAACTTTTATGCAGATATTTTGCAGATATGTTGACAGACAATTTACAACATATCTGCAACTTTTATGCAGATATTTTGCAGATATGTTGACAGATAATCAACATATCTGCAAAATATCTGCAACTTTTATGCAGATATTTTGCAGATATTGTAGATCTTGTTGCAGATATGCTGCAGTACTGCAACAGATATATGACAGATACTTGCAGACATTTTACATATATGTCAGTTTGGTAAGGGATATCTCTACATGAGTATAGATGTCAGAATAAGAAAATATTTCATGGCAATGTTCAACAGTTTGTAAAATGTGATGTTCTGAAAAACCAAGTAAGAATTTTGGCGCAAAGAGAACTTTTGCTTTTCCTTCTTGGGTTGTTGATTTTTTCAGTGACTGGACAATTCCTTTGTAATATGAAAATAGTTTATTTTTTAACTGTTCTCTTTCAGCAAGAGACACATCACGTATCACGAGAGGATTTGGCATGCTTGATGTAACTGGATAACAAGATTGTACACCACAGTTCGTGAGACCACATTTACATTTCAACGCACAGCTATCACAACATAGATGATCTGGAGATGGCTTTACAACTGACCGTGCAGGTTCAAAGAAACTTAGCAAAAACTCTCTACGACAGCATTCGGTTTTCACATATGACTTCATATCCTTGTCGACATGTCTCAGCAATAAGCTACTGTATAATAGAAATGCATTACCATGAGTACCACCCCTTCCAGCTCGACCTGTTTCCTGAATATAGCTTTCAACATTTTTTGATGGACCAAAGTGAACAACGTTTGTAACTCCTTTGCTATCTACACCCATACCAAATGAAATTGTCGCAACAAGTACACGTATACTCCCATCAACTTTCTGAAAAGAACTCAAAATTTCTCTCTTATTTGCTTCTGGTGTGCATGAATGAAGCATTTCAATCAAAACCATACACTTGTTATTTTGGTCTAGAACATTTCTTTCACCAAGACTTTCTCTCAGCACGGCATAGAGTGTGGAACACTGTGTTATTGTTTGGCAGTATATAATTGTTCTTGTACAGTCCACACCTCGTTCTAACAGCTCATCTGTTAACCATTTAAAAAGCTCATTCAATTGATCATATTTGTTTATATATGATACATAATAGGTTATATTGAGTTTGTTAGGACTTTCAGTAATAACATAAGGGTCAGCCATGAGTAAAACCTCAAATATTTCTTGCTTGGTTTTTTCTGTTGCAGTTGCAGTAAGAACAACAAATGTTGTTGGTACAAGTGACCTTAGTTCACCAAGTTTAATGAAACATTCACGGAATGCTGCATGTCTGTTGCTTGATGATTTTCCCCTAAATAACAATACATGCATATTTATTACTTTTAAACTAATACCATGATCACCTCTATTTTCATTATTCTGAAAGGGAATGTAAATCCCATATTTCCCTCATTACGTTTTTGTCTTCTAAGTAAGACAAAATATTTCTTTGTCTTATACTGTAATTTTCCCCTGTATGATTGATGAGGGAATTCAAAATTAGAAGACAAAGAAATCTTTTGTCTTTTACTAAATCTCCCAGGGAAAGTACTCCATTACCTCTCATTGGAGAGCTGTACCTCATCGAAAATCATCAGCACAACTATGAACAGTTTCTGACGACACCGTCCTGTACACATATGAACAATAACTTTGCCATTTTTTATTCCACAATCTTGAACATTTAAATCGTGGGATAAAATATGGTTTATGCACATGCCTAAAAAGAATGAACATGGAGATGTGTTTCTGTGCGTGCGTATATATGAAAAGTGTTCATCCCACAATCATAAGACCATGTGATACCCTCGATGATCATAATATTACAAACTAATAACACGATTAGTTAGGAAATTAGCGATTAAATTGCCATTCGCCTTGGGAAAATTTTTGATAGTCCTCAGGCTTCGCCCTCGGCTGTCATAAAACTTCCCTCAGTGTCGAGCAAGTTAATCGATAATTTCCCTCTAGTCATGTTTAATATTACTCATAAAAATATATATCACTAATCTTTCACAACAGGAAAATGAAAATTTCGGGGGGGGGGGGTGGACCGAAGAACAAGAATGTGCATTTATTATGACTCAATATCATATTACAATGTATTTGTGAAAATCATAATACACATATGTTCCTGGTCAGGGGAATTGAAAGCAGTGACAGACACTAGGAGGGGGGCTGGGCCTGAAGTGGGTAAGGATTTTGTATCAAAAGAAGGCCCAAAGGCTTGGAAATTTGACCTGTTGGCCATCTTGAATAAGAAACTTCACATAAATATTAAAATATGTGTTCATTGATTATTATTTATTCCAATTTATTGTTGACAGTTCAGTTTACAAAATTGACAGTCTAGAAGTTGTACAGGAAATTTAATATGGACCATGCCATCCTTTGATATGCACAAGGGTGGGCAATGATGCAACAATGCCTCGAGTGTTTCACAATAAATTACAGTATATTTTGATTTGGAAGTATGTAAATATTCAAAACATTTTATATCATGAAAAACACGTACACCTCACACATGTACATTTTCACTGGAATAAAATGAAGAGATAAATATTTTGAAGAATATATATCACACTCACCAGTGTTTAATAATGTGGGCTTCGTCTACTGCCACAGCACATATTTTATTGCTATAGGAATTGCTGAGCAACATAGACCGCCATTTCTCATTCAATAGCCAGCTTTCGGGTGAACCATAGACTATGGAATATCTGCCATTCAAGAGATCGTTTTCTTCATTTGCGGAACTGATAAGACTCAGACTGATAGCTTTAATACCAAGGGCATTGAGTCTGTCAACCTGATCCTTCATTAGACTGACTAATGGTGAAACAACTATTAAAATGTTCGTCTTTGGTTGATATTCGCATCGAGGACTTCCTTCTGACAGACAATCAAAAACGATCGGGAGAGCCTGGTATGTAAGAGATTTCCCGCTTCCGGTTGGCATATTGATAAAAACATCATTTTTTTTCTCTGTTATCTTTTTTATCGCATTGTATTGAAAATCTGACAGCTTGTTGATACGAAATAGCTCGCAAACATTGCTCACAGCTTCGTCGAACTCCATATTGAATTTAAATTTATGCTAATTATGCTGTATGAACACGTCTTTGTGACGTCACTTTCCAGAATTTGGAAGGTAAATTCTGATTGGTCCACGTAGCGGAATTCATTTTGGCGCTCGGGTAAGCAGACGGTAGTATTTCGTCGCTTGGCGTAAGAACTACAACGTCTGTGAGCAGGCTACAAAAAAGTACCCTCTATAAAAATTATCCTATTGTTATAATTTGAATGCCTGAGCACTATGCTGAACACAAGAGTGCGCAAACACAATTGAATTGAATTTTTAATTGCCAGTTGCATAAAATCCTGTGCTTAACAACAATAGGATAAATTTCTATATTCTTTCTACTTTTTTGGGGACACACTGCATAAAGGACAAGTCTTTGAAAAGCGATAATTTTCACATGTGAAATTATCATAAACAATGTCACATACAATACAATACAATAATTTAATGAACACTCCCCAAGGAGGCTTTTCAGTGATCATTTACAATAAGTAATAAACTAATTATGTACAAAACGAAATACTAGTCCTAAGATAGTATAAACTGATTTAGTAATTGAGTTTTCATTTTTTGCTTAAAAATATGTACAGAGTCACTTAATTTTAAAGAAGTTTCTAATGAGTTCCATAAGCTTACTGTACGGTAATAAAAGGATCTTTGGCCACTAGCGGTCTTAAACAGTGGAATATTCAGCAACTGTGAGCTTCTGGTAGTCCGCTTACTCACGTCACATCGTTTAATAAACTGACTAGACAAGTAAGATGGAGCGTGGCCATTCATACATTTGTACGCCAGGATCGCGTCTCGATAATAAAGTTGTAATTTAACGGGTAGCCACTTAAGGTCTTTCAATACGGGAGTAATGTGATCGTATTTACGAGTTCCCGTCACAATGCGTGCAGCGAAATTCTGTGCAGTCTGTAGCTTTTTTAGATTTTTCTCTGCAGTATTAGACCATACAGACGAACAGTAAAACATTTTACTAAAGACTAAAGTGTTAATTATTGTAATAAGTGTTTTCCTATCAAATGCATGCTTCACACGATTTATCTGACCTAAAATCGACATGCACGAAGACACATTTTTTATAGTATGCTCATCAAAACTAAGGGTCTGATCAAAGGTTACACCCAGGTCCTTTACATGCAGTGAAGGTTGGATATCTTTTCCTAACAATGTTACACGAAAATCAGATAGTTTGGATAGCATTTGTCGGCTGCCATAGACCATTAATTTTATCTTCTTTGGATTCAAGAGTAGACAATTTTCAAAACACCAGTTACGTATTCGAACTAGATCGTCATTAATTTCAATCATTGCCTTGGTACTATCGTGTATTGGAAATGAGATATAGAGTTTACTGTCGTCTACATAGCAGTCGGGTGTGCAGGACCTCGGAACAAGTGGTAGATCATTGATATAAATATTGAACAAGATTGGGCCAAGGATACTGCCCTGTGGGACTCCGCTTGTAACTAGCAAAGGATCTGATAAGGTTGAATTTATGCATACCACTTGATATCGATTTGACAGGTAGCTACTGAACCATGATAATCCAGAAGGTGATATACCAATGTCCCGCAATTTATTTAATAATGTTTGGTGATTTATGCTGTCAAAAGCCTTGCTAAAGTCTAACAATACAACTGCAGTTAATTTCTTACTGTCAATTGCTGTTAGAATTTCATCAGTAACTTTTATCAGAGATGTTTCGGTAGAATGGTCTTTTTTGTTTCCGCTTTGCTTCGTAGAAAGTTTCCCATTTAAAACTAAATAAGGCATCAACTGATTCAATGCTGATCGTTCGCATATCTTTGATAATACAGGTAGGCGTGAGATGGGACGGTTGTTCTCTGCTACTTCGTGATCGCCTTCCTTTAAGACAGGCAAAACCTCAGCCTTCTTCCAAGTACTTGGAAACTGGCATGTAGAACACAAAGACGCATTGACGATTGAGGTGATAGGTAAAAGGATTGCAGGGAGGCTATCTTTAATCACGCGTATAGGTATTTTATCATGGCCAGGTGCCTTATTCATTGGCATTGAGCGAATAACATTCTCGATTTCTCCGCTGCTCATCGGCTTAAAGAAAAATTGTTCATCATCTGGGTATTCTTGAGTGGGGACTGCTGGTTGTGTTAAGTCATAATTAGATTGAGCGGCCAAGGAATTTATTTGTTCAGAAGTTATTTGGCCAAGAGTCGTAAAATAAGTGTTAAACTCATTTGCAATAATCTTTTCATCTCTATTATAGGACTTCTGTCGCGTGGTTTGTTTTGGGATACAAGATCGTATTGTTTTCCAAATACTTCTTTTGTTGTTGGGATTACTCATAATTTGTTCCATGACATGCTCTTGTTCGGCTAACCTAATTTCTCGCCTCACTTCCTTCTTAAAATTTCTATAAGCCGCCCAAGCTAAGGTGTCATTTGTTTGTCTAGCCAATTTTTTCCAGTGGTCTCTATGAGAAAAAAAACCCCGGTAATAATGCAGAGTACAGAAATTAGCCTTTCCCACGAAGGTTTAAATCTGCCATTTTTGGGTACTATTTTATAAAAAAATATGAAGTAGCTAAGCGATGTGAAACTAATTTTTGAAATTTGTAACTGTAAATAGATTTTATGATTATACCGCATAACTATAGCTATAGAAAGGTCATTTTCAATGTTTACTATTACTAAAAAGGTTGCCACCCAAAAATTGTGGCTGGCGTGAGAAAGGCGAATTGAAATGCACATTTGCAATTCAATACCAGTTATCATGCTTCCGCGATCTGGCCCCCTCTGCTCATGTGTCAACATGTACCAAGTAACGTCAACATTTTCCGCTCCTTTATCGGAATGGACTCGCGACGGTAGGCCATATTCATCAACAGCTCCCAAAAACTGTATCAGCTCTGTTATTGTTTGACGCGTGAATGTAAACCGGTATCCTGGAGTAGCCATCTACACCACCGTGCACAACTATCCTCCACCTGGAAAAAAATGGAAAATAGGAAACTTCCCTGTCATTCAACATTATTTATTTTGAGTATGATGCAAAACTTGACAGTTGTACCGAATCAACTTGTGATGCCCATCTATGTGCCAAAGACCCAGTGGCGAAAAGATGCTATACTTTCTTTTCTTTACAGCATTTTTCCATCGTTGCACCACACCAGTTGGATCGGTTCTTAATAATGATTGTCTAATTCGCTCTCTTTGAATTCTGTAACCTTTGCTAAAAAGGTAGCCCTTCAATATTCGTATTCCAATGGAGCTGTTTTCATTCTATACTGCATTAACAAGTTCATCTAGATCTTCATCATTAATGTTGCTGTATGTAGCTAAATCAGTACACTAATTCATAATGCAATCAAGCTTGTAAGATTCGGACTGTTTCCTCGGTTGGTCAATCCTGGCTTAAACTACTCCATTTCACCTGTGTTCTCAGACATTTGCAAGTGGAGGTTAATGTTGCATGTATGACGTATTTGTTAATTTATATCGACCTTAATGTTTATTGGTCGAAATTTGTAGGCGATAATACGTACATTTAAGATGGAGTAATACAAGCAACAAAATCTCTACTTAACATGCGTCGAAATCAGGTTTGTTGCAAGTTGCTGCAATTTTGTTGCTCGAATTACTCCAGGTTTTATACCTAAACATGCAACGCAACAATGTTGCACAGGAAAATCGCTGTGCCTGTAATATGTTGCCCGCATTTGCTCACCTTTAATGCTTAGGTTGAATGCAGCGAGCCTTCTTTCTACTGTATGCTGCCCAACACCCAAAATGCTACTCATTTCTTTGACAGTAAAACCCTGGTCAACTAAAAACGATAATTGCTCCTGCGATATAGAAATTCTAGGTCTTCCACGACCGGAACAAATAACGGAAGGGCTATACTGCACATCAACATCTCGGCTTTCGACCATTCGTTCCGACATTCTGTCTAACTGTTGATACACTAACGACAATGCATTTATTACTTGCTCCGGTAAAGCCAAAGTTACACTCATCCTATTCACGTAGTCTAATCGTAGCTTCATCAGATCAACATTTTCATTATTCACTCCTGCGATATCTCTAATGACCCGAGCAATTTCGACATGTGTTAACTCTTGGTCTTGCAGGTCCGCCATGTTTGATTTATATATGATGTAATTATGACAAGTTTGTATTACGTAATTTTGGCGGCTTTTGTACAAGCGGCGGCAAATGGCATTTTCAACTTGACAAATGGCAATTTTCAACTTCACAAATGGCAATTTTCAACTTGGCAAATCGCAATTTTCAACTTGGCAAATTGCAACTTCGAACTTCACAGATCGCAACTTTCAACTGTGCAAATCGCAACTTTCAGTATAGCAAATCGCAACTTTTGATATTAGATTTTTTTCACCAAGTTCATTGTTGCATGCAGGAAAGTCGTTAAATATTTGTGTGGTAAACATTTGTCAAAAGACATATGAAAAATTATGGGCAAAATTAAATGTTGATTCCCCATGTTAAAAGTCGAATTGCAATATTGATTTTTGGCGGTGATGGAACGCCATAGTTGTGGGCCACCGTACGACTGCGACATTGGGTAGCCACACCATTTAACTAAATACTCTCTCTAGATATTAAAACATAAACCAAATCTGAAATCAGTAAATTGAGCATTGAATTTGAAGTGAACTACACTTGATAAAACCATTTATAAAATTTAAACAATTCATACATACCGATTCACGCCCGTTTCTCCTTTCAATTATGCGTTCCGCTTCCAAAAATCTCCCTGTCGCCTTTTTAGCTTGCTTTTTTTTCTTCTCCGAATATATATTGCTCAGATTGTGCAAAGCTGAATAAGAACTGGCAGGCTTTGCACCCCTCGTTGCTATACAATCTGCCATTTTGGACTAAATTTTTGGGTAGTGCTGCTGACCTGCGACAACTTTGGGGAGTTATTGCTGACCATTAATGGCGGGCGCCAACGGTTCTAATTTACGGCCATGTGCAACATCACGTTGCTGCAACTGTACCACTGTTATGTTCACCATAAATAATTTAATATGAAGAAATATTAGATCAGAATAGTAAATGTATTTATTAGTAAATATATAATTATAGGTTACACATATAGATAAGTTTAAGACTGTACAATCAATTTTTCTCCAGGGGCCAGTTGTTCAAGGCTGGATTAGCTTAACCCTAAGTTAACCTAAAATTCAAAGCAAACTTTCTGACAGCTTGTCTATAAATTTGGAAATATTTCTTCAGAGATCTTGTCTGGATCAATAGGAGTTTTCTTCTCTGAAGTTTTGAAATAAACAGGCATGTAGAAATACACAAACTATAACAGCAAGCTAAATTTTAACCCAGGGTTAGCTCTAGTCCAGCATTGAACAACCAGCTCCTGGGGCAGAGTAATTACATTTACTATAACCTACACTTATTTAAAATATCCTAATATTATATTTATATACATGGCCAGAAACAAATAATGAGTACCTAAAAGTCATTAATTGTTAATGTCAAGTCTCACTCAGCTGGTTTGCTTTTAGTTCAAGCCCCACAGCATTTGTCCTGCACCATGTTTATTTAAATCAATTTATTGGAGCATGTCCAAGCGGTAGAGTGCGAATGGGACTCAAAGTCCCATGCGAGGCACTCCCCGTTACAAACTGTAACGATTTCTTAATATTTACATTAATAATAGCTATGAAAAAACATATGCCAATTACTTGAGCACCAACCAATTCTTAAAACCGCACAACAGTACGTTTACACACAAACAATCGGTTGGCCGATTTCACGTATTGCCGAATGTTAAAATGACAAAAGTTATATGAGTTGACAACACAGAGTAGACAGATATACAGAACTACAACTAGTGTACCCACCTTTTTGTGTGCGTGCTCGGCAAGTTACTTGATGCATGCATGCATCCCATTGGATGGCGGTTCGCTTTAACCGCTTGCGGAACTTGCCAAGAACGCGCAGTTGATAATTTTTTTTTACCCGGTCGCCTAAAAAAATGTGGGTACATGAAAACGTAAGTTTCCACAGCACTTACGACGGCCAGTTACAGCTCTGCATGTATCCACTCTGTGGTTGAGAATGTCGTCAGATGACATTGACAGCGTATTTTAATATCATTTAAATAAAACTGAATCCAGCCTGAGCCAAATCGGCCCAACCAATCGCTATGCGCAAACGCACCTTAAAGAATTTTTTGGATTTAGTATTAAATGAGAATCCAACTACTTTAAATTCTTTCACAATTAAGAATGTGAAAGAACATAGAGAGTGAAACACAAGCAATACGCATATGTTTTGTTTGAATTAATTCCTATGACATGAACAAGTTTGATGTAATGACCAGGTACAAGTCATATCTACATAAAAAATAGTAGTAATTAAATGTAAGTACGTTCTTGACAAAAACGATTTAAACATAATTAAACTACGAAGGTCTGCAGGCGAGGCTGCTTTACACACACAGTTCCAAAGAGGGACGATACGATTAAAGAAGGACGACTGAAAAGTACTTGTTTTACACGACGGAACTTTAAGCATAAGAGAAGGATTTTCACAATTACCAGTACGACAATGGCTAACAAATGACACATAATCAGAAACATTTAAGTCGTAATATCCATGCAATAACTTGAAGAAAAACGTTAAATCCTTTATCTCTCTATCGTATGTTAACGGTAGTAGGTTGAGGGCCAGCAATCGATCTTTGTATGTAATGTCACCTTTCTTCACTTCTCGTGGCGCGTCTTTGTAGTTTTTCCAAGCTAATTCTGTTAAGCGACTGATACGGAGACCAGATCTCTGTGGCATAAGATAGTTGTGATTTCACAAGTGACAGGTATAAAGTTCTTCGAGCATCGCAATTCGTTAACATGGGACAAGTTCTCCGTAATAAACCCAGTGTTGAATTTGCCTTCGTAACAAGTTTTGTAATGTGCCTATTCCAGGAGAGATTACTGGTAACGGTGATCCCTAGATCAACTTCCGCTATCTACGCGTATCAATTCTGCGGACCCAAGATGGTAATTTAACACAATCGGTTGTTTACGTCGGGATATTGTCAGGGCTTTGCACTTAGACGTGTTGAAGTTAATGTTGGATCCTTACTCCAATGGTCAACGTATGACAAAGCTTCTTGTAGATTATCGCAATCCTGGCAAGATGTTATTGCCGTATACAGCTTTGTGTCGTCAGCATACAGCCCTGTTGAAGTTGTTGGAGGTATTACATCAGGGAGATCATTGATGAATAGAAGGAAAAGCATGGGGCCTAAGATACTCCCCTGTGGGACACCTGAGGTGACTGGAGACCATTCTGAAGCAACACCTTTGACAACAACACGCTCAGTACGTCCACGTAAATAGTCAGTGAACCAATTGTAAAGGTTGCCTGATATACCAGAAGGCCTTAGCAAAATCTAGAAAAAGAACGTCTGTCTGGATATTTCTGTCTAGTAATTGTCCAATATGATGTAGAGTGGACAGAAGTTGTGTCACGCATGACCGTCCATGGAGAAAACCGTGCTGTGCTATCTATTTTTTTTGCATATGAGAAATAGAAACCCAGGCATTTCTTTTTTTGGACTTAGTATGAAGCATGGAAAGATAGGTAAAATTGTTTGGTATCTGACCCTTTATACTTCTGGCATAATTTAGATTATTAAAGCACTAAACTACTAAAGCCCTACACACTATGCCAGACCTGCCAACTCTCATGGATTACCCGTGTGACTCACGAATTCAGGCATTATCTCACGGAAATATTTTCAAATCTCACAGATTCACAATTTTGAAATTTTAACCACCACTAGACTTTAAAATGGGAGTGATTGATGTGAAATAAAACTAGCCATTGACGGTAATTCTAATTTGTAAAAAATCCCGAACACTATTTGTCTATTAGTATTTATTTACTCACTACTAAAGCCCTGTTTACACGAG